GTGGCAAAGAAGGTTAACAATCTGAATTGGGGAGTCGGAATAAACTATTTCGACACAGGTTCAATCTTCTGCCTGGGACAAATTTTTCTCTGATACCAACCTTAACATTAGCTTATGAAAAAGGATAGGGAGGTTAAATAGAGAGATATGGTTTATGGTTGAAGTTTTATTTAGTAGATTGTTAAATGGTCTCTTAGTCTTAGGGTATCATTAACCAATATTTTTAAGCAGAATGGAAAATAAATAATTCCCCGAAAAATGATTTTTACTAATGGAAATAAAGTGAAATAACTCTTGACCCTGAACCCTAAATAATTTTTTAAAATTGGATATGATTCTAGTTAAATATGAAGGTTAGAAGGATTTTTGTGGACTTAGCTTCTCAGCCTTGAATTCAATTAAGAAAAGTAAAATTGTTTTATAACGACAACTTTACCAAACAATAGCCGGATTTCTAAACTTTGAACTTATGATAGTTTAACTATTATCATTCTTTTTCATTTTACCTAAAGGGAGCGCTCCACATCTTATAAGAATGTTTTAGTTAAACTAACTAAAATACCTATAGGCTATCTGCCCACATCAAGAATCAAAATCCAAATCAATCCTACTCCCTTTAATTTTAATGACGAACTTATATAAAATCCCCCCCCCCCTCCACCTTCGTAAAAATGCCTGTATCACCTAATTTAGTTAAATCAAACAAGTCTAAAAATCAAATTTTTTTAAAAAAATAAGGAAGATAAATATATTTTGCTTTAGTTGCATGCCTCTTTCCTCTAATAAATCATTATTAGATATATAAAATAATCGTTCAATGGAAATCTAAATGGCTGGGGCCGACAAAATTTTTATGACTAATTATGCTAACAAATTGTATTAAAATGATAAAATTGGAAAACTTTAATAAAAATTTCTAAAAACAAAAAAACATAACAAAATAAATTTGTAAAATTTAAAAAAATAAAATTATTCATTTGTAGTGAAAGAAAAATAAAGTATTAGAAATAACCTCTCAAATAAATTTATTGCATAAAAAATTATTTATTATATGTGCAGGGAAAGAAATTTCCCGCCATTCACGTAAATTTTTGTTCACACCCATGGAACTGGTATGGGCATAATTTATATTTTTTAGTGGGGCTGGATATTTAAGAAAAAAATTTAATAAGCTTGAATAAATTTTTTCATCTCAATTTTGCTATTCAATAGGATAAATATAACAAATCATAATTTCTTCGCAACCGTATTCTACTGTTGGTAGTAACTCAGATTATTTTAAACTCTTCATCTTTTTTGTCCAAAACAATTGCTAACTTAAAAAAAATATTCCATCTTAATATATTTCAGAAGTGCAAACAAAATGATTGCCTAACTAAATATACTGAAATAGTGTTAATTTTCATTGAATACAAAATATAATAAATTTTTGGAAGGTTTGGATGAGAATAACCAAAAGATTTATGCAGCTAAAATAAATATAATATTAAGACTATTAGCACAAAATTTTGTCATTATTTATAAATTATATTATTATTTGAATAAAAATTTTTAATATTTTTGCTAGCATTTTTAAACAAAAATGTTTACAAAAAGCCTGCCACAAATATTATCCTCTCTTACACACCTTAGTGAATGTTTATTTGTTTTTCTTGTTCGCATAAAGGTGTTTGTTTTATTTAAAATTTTGTAACCTATTTTCTTATACTTGGCAATAACTATAAAATTCAAAGTGTATGGGTAAATTTTTTTAAATATATCTAAATTTATCAATTTTATGTTGAATTTTTTTTATGTAAAATAAAAATATTTAATTTTATTTATGGAAACTAGACCCCATATGACATATCTTTTATTTTGAGAATAATTTTTAAAAAATTTAAATTATAATTTTAAAAATAACCGATAATTTCTATATTTAAATAAATTCCGCCGGGCCGGCAATACATTTTTTTAAAAAATCGGGTTCGGGCAGGACCGGCAAAACTTTTTTAAAAAAATTTCGGGCTGGGCCTGGCTTGAAAAATTAGATCCGATGCAGATCACTTATACCGATCCTATTTTATTACCTGTAAGATGTTTTCTTACATCGTATTGGGATTAATTAACCGCGAAGAACAAATTTAAACAGCGAAATTGTTTATAATATATTATTTTTAAATGATAATTTGAACTTATAGATTAAAATTTTGTTCATATTAATATTATGTAGTTACTTAATGAAATATCATATTAACATTAGTATTATTTCAGCATAATTATAAATAAAATGATTTGATGAGATTGATCAACATTTTTTTTGAAATGCGAGCTTGGACCTTATGGTTTTTTTTAATATTAAATGCGGGCCAAACCTAGAATTTTTTTACTGTGGGCCTGGACTGGGTCTGATCATGAAATCAAGACCCGCGGAGGTCTCTGATGTATGCCTCATTTTATTTAGTAATAAACAGTATATATACTTCAGCATAATTCGCTCCCGTGTATTAGTGTAAACCATGTAATACACACATGAGGTTAGGTTTTATTATAATGAAAAAAAAAATTATCTTTCAAAATTTTATAAGATTATTATGACATATTAGGATATGGAATTCATTGAGATTCGGAACCTCTTAATTTTGTATTATTTAAAAGTGATTTTTAAATCTAAAATATTTGATTGTCCTGAAATGTCTAACATAAGATGTATAATAGAGTACGCACACTTCGAATTTTAAACAATTCTGCCTAGAAATGTTAAAATACTATTAATTTATATATCATATAAATTGAAAAATGCACTTAAGTCTAGCTAAAATTCTCTGAAATTAAATAGGCTAGGCAATGCTGGAATACATTTCCGATGAAATTCATTTTTTAAAATTCAAAAACAGCTTTCAGTAAAGGGTAAAAAATTGAGAGATTTCGAACCTCTGTAGATTATCCATATCCCAATACGACATTTATATATATAGAGTTTTTTCTTTCAAAGGTCATATATATCCTTTTGGGATAAGGAGTTTGTTGGAATCCAAATCTCAACACGGATATCCTATATCGCGAATTCTTATATTTTATTTTAAGAGTATTTCTTATTTATCCTCCCCATTTCAAATGGGGATTCGGGATATTTTTTATTAAAATATGAAATATGTAATTCAAATCTCAACCAAATTAGTTATATTTTTTATCCATTTTATTTTGTTTGTCCAAACATGCCAAATACTCATTCAATAAAATAGTTTTATGTTCAAATCATACAAGTAGAATTTTTTTTTTTTTAAATAAATTTTAGATTAATTTATCCCCATTATTGTTTTAAAAGAAAAAAACTTAGGGATTCAAGATCTCGAATCCACAGGTTGGAATTCGTCTAGAATTCTATATCCAACGATATATATAAAAATTAAAGAATATCCTGTGATAGGATTTCTTTTTAATAAAGATTCAGATCTAAATCGCAACGAAAGCCATATCCCAATAATAATATATGCTACTTACTTTAGTATAAAATAAGGTCGGTCGTTGTTCGTTAAATTATTGTGAATCTGGATATAAGAATTCAAAGGTTAATTCATTATTTTAATACACAACATGAATATTATACGATTTTTAATTATTTAAATAAATACCATTATTTATCTTAACCCATCTAACTAATAGTGTAGAGCTGAAAGAATATTTTAAATATCATTTTATAGGTACCATCACATATCCATGCAGTAATTATTTAAGAGGCTGATCAGTGCTCAATATAATTATTCTATCATTTCCAAGCCCAGAAATAAATCTTAGCAGGCTTCTATATAAAACAGGATTCAGTATATACTAAAGCTATGACTTTTACAATTGGGGGAAAATTGAGAAGCCAGATCTAGTTTGGCATCATCATTAACGTATTGTTAGTCTAGTTCAGCTATCTTTTATTTAATTTTTTTATTAATAATTCATAGCTTTTATTTAGTAGTATAAAAAATATTATCTTATCATTTACACTATTTAAATTTAATATTTGCCTCTCTATTTTGTATTACGAACTATAAATATCATAAGAAAAGTTTGGGTAGATAGCAAAAATCTTAGAAGATTTTAGGAGATTTTTGATCAAATTTTACCTAAAAATTCAAATCATTTTTAAAAAAAATCTTTATAAGTAAATCTTTTGTAACTTTCATGGATAAAAAATATTTTTAAGATGAAATAAAAATTTTTTCCAAACTCTGTTTTTTCTAAATTATAATTTTTATGATAAAATAAAAGCATTATTGTAAAACTAAGCTTTTTTAAAAAATCTACAAGACCAAGTATAATGAGTTGGGCATATGAGGACATTGAAAAAATTTTCCTGAGGAGGGGGGGGGAGTCTTTGGTGGCTTTTCTTTGGGGATTTTTAGGTTTTGCCAGCTTTCAGCCCGTATTGCATTTTTTTAAAAACAATTAAATAATTTTGGTTATACATTTTTTGATTTTTTTTCTATAAAGTATTTTTGTAATGGACATTTTGTATTTTCCGTTTGGGAGTGGGGTGCAGGGTAATAATCTTTATTAACTTAAAAGAATAATTATAAAAACTTGCAAATTTGCAAATTTGCTAAATAATGGAATTAATAACAAATAAATATAGATGAAGTATTTTGGTTAATAAATGAGATGTCTTGATCAAAAACTTAAAATAAAACTATCATATTTAATATTAAAATTGGACATGTAAATTTTTTAAAAATATTATATTATATTTATTTATTTATTTTGATAACAATGGTAATGCATGTAACTATTCTCTTGCGTTTGCCTAGATTGATTTTATCTTAATTAAACAAATAGTTTGACAACAATGATAGTTTTTATTAGATATTTCTTTGACATTGTGTAAATAAAATTAATATAATTATTACATTTTGCTCCGTTTCGAAAAGTAGATCCTTCTATTGAGAAAAAAAAATTATTCATGTATTTTTTATTTTAGAAACCGGAATTTATAAAATTAATATATTATTTATATTAAATATTTCAATCTCACAATTTTCATTTTCACATGCCTAAATTATTAAATTTTAATTTATAATCTAATATACGATTTAATTAAATAAAATATTATGGAAAACGCAAACTCTTCTAATATTTCCAGGTATAATAATATTTTAAAAATATTCTATAATAAATTACCTTATCAATAAAGCTGTATTTGTAAGGTTGATAAAGATACTGTCTACAACGAGATATCTGACATAACAAATCAAATTAAAAAATTTCTACCTCCAAATTATATTCCGACTGTTGGAATCATCACTGGGACAGGACTTGATACCATAACTTCTCAATTAACAGACAGTGTGACTATTCCTTACCAAAATATAAAGGGTCTTAAATATAGCAAAGGTTGCTTAAATAATCTATCATGATTAACTTTTAAAATTGTTTTTTTTAGTTAAGGGTCATTCTAATATGATAATGGCAGGAAAAATAGGCACCCATAATGTAATGTGTTTCGTAGGACGATGTCACTTTTATGAAGGATATCCCATGTATGTGGTAAGTTATATTTAATGAATTATTTTTTTAAAAATAAGTTTAATATTTACAAATATTACATATATATATATACTTATGCTTAGATATTATGAATTTAAAATGCACTCAAACATAAAAGGTTACAATGCCGGTTAGAATAATGAAACTACTTGGCGTTAAATATTTATTCGTGACAAATGTTTGTGGCGGAGTAAATCCGACTTATAATGTGGGAGATATAGTCGTTATCAAAGATCACGTCAATTTAGTCGGTATAGCTGGACACAATCCACTAGTAGGAGAAAATGATGACCGGTTTATTTAAATGATTTGAAGGTTTCAATAGAAATGTAAAAAAAACAAAAAATAAATTAAAAACATTTTTTAAAAACAAATTTTTTAATAAAAACAGGAAAGAACAGTTAAAAAAATATATGCTTAAAAATAATTATAATGAAATTTTGAAATATTTCAAAAATTAATTATCCTATTAAAAAAAGGAATATTTTTTAAATAAATTTAATTTAACAAAATGAAAGACTTATAAAATGATTGTTAATAATAAATTACAATACAATAGTGGTCGATTATATTATCCATAAGGATTAGTAGTTTTAAAAAAGTAGCGTTTTTCGTTAATTTTTTTCTCTCTAATAACCCTTGTTCTAAAGAAAATAAAAATACAAAGCCTCTAAATGTGACAGCCACCATTTTTAGTTCGTTCCATCAGAAGTTGTATATAATTTAAATCAAGAATTTTTCAACCTTTCTAAAAATATTTGTATGTTTTCAATAATGTTGCCCTTTATTATAGATTCTTTTCAAAAAATCGAAAATTTACCGAGAAATGAATATAGGGCTATTTTTGACAATTCTACTATTACAAAATAATAGTTTGAAGAATAATACAGCCGTAGCTTTATGAGGGCTCGAATACCTTACTAATTTATCAGACTTAATTTGCTACACACTTCATATGCATCTCTTCCTTTCCGAAAAAAAAAGTTAATTCCTATTCAGTTTGATATTTCCAAAAAAATAATAACACTCTTATTCTTATGAGTTTTTATACAATCGTTATCTCTTCTCTTATACAATGTCAAGCGGAACTTTGTTTTTTTTAAAAAATATAGGTTGCATTCATAGCCAATTAAATGTAATTACAAATAGAATTTTTTTTCTAAAACAAAAAAATCCAAATTATAATTTTAAAATATTATTTTGTTAGGGATCTTGTAAATCCACTTCATTTTAAACCCTCAAAGTATAAAATATTAAAAATAATTGTTTTCTTTTAAAGGTTTAAAACTATATTTATTTTAAAATCGATATTTATTGGTAATAAATATAAATATTGAATAAAATTTTAAAAAAAGTATCTTAGAAATCTTTCATAATTTTTGTAAAAAAAATAATTAAAATGACGATATTTTCCTAGACTTTAAGAATAGCATTATGGATAAGGATGCTATTCTTAATTCAATGAATTCGGCATTTAAGAAAGGTAAAATTAATGCAATTAACTTAGATACGGGAAATTCATTTATTGGGTCCGATCTTGACCCACGAGATATTATTTAAAATAACGAGTCCGGCTCAAATATATTTATTCTTAGGACCTAAATTCAGCCCAGCTCGGATTGGATTTTTATTTGAAATTCAAGCTCGGTTTTAAATTTTTTATTGAAATTATAAAATTAAATTAACAGACCAAACTATCAGCTCTAACTTTATATGAAATTCAAAATCATATTAAATCCATAATTCTAAGTGTTTTCAAATTAAAAAACAGGGGTGAATCTTTCCTAGAAATTTTTTAATATATGACACAACAATTTATTGGGTATAGATTCCCACTGTTATAATGATGACAGCTTGGAAATTAATTTAGATTAGACTAATCCCCAACGTATTTTCCAATCTCCCTTATATGAATAACTCATTAAAAAAAAATAACTAAAATTCACTTGAATATAAAAATTCATAAAAAAGAGGAGAGATCTTATTTTACAATTTTCGATATTGGCTTAAGCCCTAGTGCAATCAATGCAGATTTAGCTATTTTTTATAAATAAATTTTGACCATCTTTATTTGTAGCTATCAAGCGGTAAAGTCAACTTTGATATGATTCATATGGCTTTTGCATCAATCATTTAGCAAATATTTGCTTTGTTAATCTTAAATTGATATCCGAAGAAAGTTAGATATAAAAATGGGTCAGTAAGATAATATATTTATCAAACATTTTCTATATATTCAATTCCTATAAGGTGCTATCATAAATATTCATAACCTTATTTGCAAAACATAATATTTAGATGGGGAACTAGATTTCCGCATTTGTTCAATGCTTACGATTTTGACCTTCGGGTGAAAGCGGCAAAGGTGTGCAAAAAATTAAATATCCCATATAAAGAAGGTGTTTTTTGCATGAACACTGGACCTACTTATCAAGCTAAAGCGGAAGGGCGTATGCTTCTTCGCGTAGGAATAGATTTAGTAGGTTATACAAAAAAATTTAAATATAATTCTTTCTCTAATGATCACTTTTTTTAATTGGGGTTCTCATAAGTAAAATGTAATAAAAAAATTAGGTTGATTTTTTTTACCCATAAAAAATATAAACAAGATTAAATTCTATATCAACAAGTTATCTTTAAAAATGTATTTTATTATAATTTTTGTCAATTCCGTTTAACTATTATAAGATATAGTTTCATGGTTATACCTAGGAAAATATTTTCCTGGTTTATTCCTCAAAGATTTACTCAGAAAAAATATTCCAATTTCATTAGATCCTAAATAAAAAAAATTTTAACTTGCTAGCTAGTGTTTAATTGGTGAGCTGGTTAAAACCCCGCCATTTAACGAAGGTGAAAGTATTAGATAATAATAATTCTTATTCCTCCACTAGAGTACTACCCTAGAAACCTGGCGCCTTGGTGAGGCCCCGAAAAATTTATGAAATCTTTGGGGTCTTAATAGAAGCCAAGAAATTCAAATGAGCACAAAAAATTTGAATTTTTATTAAATAATAAATAAACGATATTGTTATTCCTAAAATTATTTCTTAAATAAAATCAATCTATGACTTAAATATATTAAAATCCATGATTCATCAATACTATAACTGTGTCTATAATATTAACACAGCATGCATTTTATTGATGCTTGTTAACTAATGTAGCTACCGAACGCGGTTTCTCAAAATTAAAGAAGATAAATAATTATTTACCCAGTTCCAACGATTGATTGCTCATTTAATAGATTATACAGAGAAGTAAAAGAAAGATTTAAAATGGAAAAGACAAAAAATTTTATTCATTAATTTCTTTTTTGATATTTTTTCGCGCAAAATATTTAAACTAAGCTTATTGAAAATTATTCGATAATCTTCTTTAAAATATTTGATCGAAAACGAATAATAATAAAAAATTCTTTCACGAACAATAAATTTAAATGACTTCATACGGATTAGTGTTATTCGTAAATTTTTAGAAAGAATAAATTTCATTAAATATTTGAATCATTTGTTAATTTTAGAATAATTATATAGTTATTTTTATTAATTATACAATAAAATGTTTATTTTTTGTTGCATACTAAAAAAAAATTAATTAAAAGCCGTTTATTCATTATTAGGATTATGTATACGTATAATATATTACTCGATAAATTCATACGAATGGAATTCAATTATTTGATTATCACAAAAAAAGATACTAAATTTCATGATCTGATTATTTGAAGGCCTAATTTAACCCATCGAAATGTATATGTTAGCGACAATGTGTTTTTTCCTGCAATGTTTTATTTTTCAATTTTAAATCATATTTTAAACGCGTTTATTTAAATTTAAAAATCTGATTTTACCAGAAATGTATTCCAACATGTTTAGAATACCTATCTTATGAATTGTAGACAATTTTCCGTCCAAAGGTTCATGGCAAAATTTCCTGATATTTATAAGGCAGGTATACCAAACATGATGAAATACATTTCCGGTAAAATCAGGCTAACAAAACTTCAAAAAATGTTTTAAAGTTGAAAAATAACACATTGACGGAAATAAGGCATTACCGCTAACATATATAATTATCTATTAAGATGCACGCATTCTATTGATTTAATTCCTTGAGTGAAAAAATGGACAACTTGAATCAATTATAAGGATGAGGAAGAGCCTCCCCCCCCCAATATTCGTGCTTTTTGAGGGGGTGGGGGGTGTAAAAAGCAAAATAATACATATTTAAGAAATATTATAAGTTTTGAAAAGATATGAATTGGTAAGAGATCAGCATGGCCAGAACTGGCTCGTTAAGATTTTCGTTAAAGTTTTCCAGTCTCCATCTCCTAAGATATTTTTACGAGTTTACACCTGCTGGCGAGGAACTTAAAAATATTTTTTGTGATTTTCCCGGGCCTGCCCTCCTGATCTCTAAATGACAGAGTTGATCTTCCTTGAGGAAAGATTTATCAACTCCATATCGCAAATATCTGAGATGGAGGTAAAAATTAATGAAAACGTATTCTTTTAGAAAATGTTCCAAGGTAACGATGATTTTCTGTTTATTTTTTGATTCAAATTATTTAGTTTATAGAACAGCTATAAATGGTATTTTATTTTCAATCATTGGTTTTTTTTAACTTCAATATTTCAAGATGGGTTCCACTATTAGTTTAAGATTACATTGATATTTAATATTTTTATAAGTTATTGATCTAAAGTTTCTAATATAATATTACATCTTAAAAAATTTACGCTCTGATCATAAAAATTTAGGAGTTGACGAATAATTTATATAATGAATATTTAGCATAAATTTTAAAAAATAATGCTTTAATTATTAAACATTTTTTGGTAAAAATTATTGCAACAATGATTCCAAGGAGGCCTATTTACATTTATTTTTGATTTTTATATGATAACTTTTTTTAATTAAAAAGGTATGAGCACTATACCCGAAGTCACGGTGGCAGTTCATTGTAATATAAAAGCTTGCGCTTTTAGTTTGGTAGGTTCAGCAATTAGATATGATGAATTCTCTTATGAAATAATAAAAGATGACCCAAACGATATAGAAAACAAAAGTATAAACCAATATATATAATTTTATCATTTTTTTAATATTCAACCTTAATAATTTAAATCATTTATAATATAATATTATATGTATAATATTTTGTGCAAATTGTGCTATTCATAATAGAAACTACTATTCATAGTAGGGACCTAAAATATTTAAGACCGGAGAGGGTTATCTGTGTTATATATTTTTTGAACTGCGTATTTTAAATTTTAAATTAAACATGAGTAATGCAAATTTATGATTTTTCATTCACAAAAATATTATGTGGAGGGCGGACAACTTGACAAAAATATTTTATGGGTCGGAAACCCAAATTATTAACTGCCTGGCCGAAACCGTGGTGATTTTTATTAATACTTATTCTTTATATATATTATTACATCATTTTTGCTCTGAGTTAAAAACAGGGGCACCCAAAGATTTTTACTAGATTTTTTAAAAAAAAATATTGAAAAATGTTATGGATTTTTTGGTCAAAAAATAATTCAAAGAGTGCACTCAAAATATTAAAATAATTTAATATAAAACAATTTTTATTGTAAGGTAAGATTTAATAAATTTATGTAAAATCCAATCGAAAATCTTCTCAGACCAATAATTATACCTTTCAAATAGTTAACCACCATTCTAAAATTACTATATACTCGTATATTATAGTGTGGTAGTTCATCGACCCCAGTCTCCCCTTCTTTATACTTAATTTATTAACATTATTGAAAATCTATGCTTTACAAGTCTGCTGTATTTATAGAAGAGATTTTGTATCTAGAGTTATAGTTTGATACTATAAAACATTATCTGTAAAACTTAAAAGCAGGAAAATAAATTACTTGTAGAGAGGACAGGAAATCTTGTGAGCCTGAAGTTGGTTTTCCTTAAGAGCACTCAACTCTAATGGTTAATTTTTTAACCAAATATGTATAACTACATTATGCATATGCGGCTATAATTATTTTCAATATCGGATCGCATATAAAATTTTTATAATACAATATATGATTTATACTTTCAAAAGTAAATTTTTGAATGGTTAAATTTATCAAAAATAAATTATAATAAAGGTTTGAATTATTCAATATCTTATATAAAAGATTAAACCCTATTCTATAAAAAAATATTCTTTGTTTGAACAAATAATATTTAAACCGCTATAAAATTAAATTTTAAAGATAATGAGGGTCTGGGACTACTTCAGAGTTCATATGAACGTTTTTTGAGCGTTATTTTTAAATTTAAATTTTTCTTATTTAAATTTGAATATGGTAAGAAATCATATTAGAAAGAAGAAACAACTAATAAATAATGAAATACCTAATAAATTTAATGAAACGACCTTGCTAACCGTTCTAGAGAAAATAAACTTATGTTATAGATATAAATCAAGATTTAATGAAACAACAAAATTTTAAATTGTCTACATCAAGACAAATATTCAAGTAATTAAAAAAAACTACACTATAATTATCTAATAGATATATTTAAACTTTATGAATCTTTGCCTCACTCTTTTTGCGCACATGGGACCTATTGCAATTTTAATCCATTCTTTATTTATCTAAATTATCGATAAATTTCACTTTTTTAATTATTTTTCATTATATGGCTTATTTTATCAATAAAGTAGTTGCAATTTTTTATATTTGAAAATAAGCAATATTAGCATAAAGGCGCCTGATGGAAAAGCTTATCCTTCCACGGGTGTGGACAATCCTTTTCCAAATATTTTTTTTCGGAGAAATTAATATTGTTAAAAAAGTATAATTTAAAAAAAAAAAATTTTTATGAATAGCATGAAGGTAAATAAGTGGAATAAGATGAAATAATATTTATTCAATATTATCAAGTAGGTTTCATTTTATTGACGTTTGCCTTTTAGGGTTAGTATGCTACCCGGTCTTCCCTATGTTTTCTTTATTATATTAGAAGAAAACATAATTTATACATTTGATGATGCAGCATTAGCAGAAAAATAAAATAATTTAGTACTTTCTTTGTAACCTTAATCTTCAATAAATATATGATTATCTATATTCTATTCTTATTTTATGTATAAGAATAACAAAATTATTCGAAAATTCTAATTGAAAGAAAATATATTATTTGTCTAATCGAATTATTTGAAATTATTCGTAAATATTCAAAACTATTCCTAAATATTCGAAATTATTCGTAAATATTCAAAACTATTCCTAAATATTCGAAATTATTCGTAAATATTTAACATGTTCCTTGCTGAACCTTTAATTTTTTTAAACATTATTTCCGCATTTATAAATTACCTTTTTAAATTTTAATCATCTACTTTTTCAATATTTTCAAAAAATTTAATTTTCGAATTGAATTGAAACTAAAACATTTTTTTATTATAAAGAATAAGAATATGGAATTATTCTATTCGTATGAATAGGAATAATATAATTATTTGTTTCTAAAATACGAATCGAATACGAGGGATAAAGTGTCCTTCTTAAGAACCACTTACTAATTAAATTATAACAATATTTAAACCCTTATTAAATATTAATGATCACCATCCTTCTCCTATTATCACAGATTTTCTTGAAAGATTTTTTGAATGGAAAAAGGGACCCACCTTGACACATCTACCCAATAAATCTAGAAATCTAATTTCAAATTTTGTTGCAAAAATTATATGGTACTACGCATGCATCTCTTTATTCCTCTCAAACTTAAATAAACCCATTAATACAGGTAGAAAAAAGATTAACAAATACAAAAATTTTAACAACTTCATATTCACTCTATAGTGAATTCCACAAACAGCCATTCTTCACCATTAATATTATAAGTTTTTAAAAATTTAAGCATAAAATAGGGCTTTTTACAAACGAACTAGAGAATTTTTATATATGCGCCAAAAAATTCAAATAGAAATTTTTAGACATAATCATGGTTCCTTTTTGGGAACTCAATTATAAAATTGTATTTTATATCGTTTTTTTAATTTTTATAGTCTTTTATAGAATTTTAATTTCATCTTATATTAAAATAAAAGTTATAAATTTTTAAAAAATATATATTCTATACCTATTTTTGTAGGTATAAATATAATTAACCTAAAATAACTAATTTATATCTTGTCATAAAATATATGTATATTTTAATTGTCATAAAATATATGTATATTTTAATTGTCATAAAATATATGTATATTTTAATATCAGTTACTCAATTAGAAATGTGATGAATACTTGTAAAGAGTTGCTAGAATAATTTTAAAAAATATGGCGGATTTTAACGTATGAATATTTTTATATGATCTTAGCTGTACTGTTATCAAGGAAATAATATTTATAGTTTATATATTTAATAATAACATTAAATATATAAAATTTTAATCTGCCTTTTTAAAAAGGTTTTTAATTTTACGTGATTAAGCGCCTAGTAAGTTATGTACGCAAAGCAACGCTTGAGCTAACATTATAATTATACTGGGCCGTGCAAAGCTACAAATATTTAAAAAATCTTTAAAATGACAATATAAATATTACATAATTTATGTATATATAACTCTCCAGGAGGGTCGATTGACCGCCTTTGCCCTTCCCTGCAGGCGCTCATGGTTAAAAATTTAGCTATCGATATATGACTTCTTATTTTATTCTTAATTCAAAATTATAAATGATTGATTATATTTATTATTATCTGGGACATGGTTAATACTATTCCTATAGTGTAATGTTCTTCTTAGTCTCTCTATTTATCTCAATAAACTTTTATATATTTTTATAAATGAATTAGGTAATGGGCCTTCAAAAGATACAAATTACGAGTATAAAGTGACAAAAACTGATGGCTCTATATACCATGACAACGTCATAAATTTAGGTAAAAAAGGTGGTGAATTGATGGGACAAATTATTAATGATTTAATTATGAGCCTGGATTGATATATATGTTTTAAATCAATGTATATTATTTGATGAATATCAACCATTGTACTTTTATAATAAATAATATAAGAATAAATTTATAAATAAAGTTAAGGTTCCTGGCAATAAATATTGCCAGTTTAATACGTATTTATATTTCAATTGAGAGATCAATTGTACTTTTTCTAATAGTTATATAATTACAATAGTTGTTTGGAAACAATTTAGGAAATAAAAAATATAAATTTGCCTAATATTATTAGCCTTTTCTCTAACTTATTTAAACTCTTCTTCTTGACGTCGCTTTAGTGAACTATTTTATGTCATTAATTACAAAAAAAATGATGATAATGGCAAAATACTAGACTATTGATAAATTGGTAAGGAATTAAAAGTTCCCAAAATAGACGTTTATATTTTAAAAATTTTAATTTGTATATTGCATAAATTTTATTTTTGGTTCTAACTTTCTTTATCAAAGTGTCGAACCGAATCTCGGAACTGTTTTGATTTCCTGAACCATAACCTATCCATAATAATAAAATCTAAAAGGGAGAGAACAGAACCCTTGTAAAATAACTGGCTTAAACCGGTCCCTGATTTAAAATAGGTTACTATGACAATTTTCCTTTTCCCTTAAAGGGCAAACTAGGCAAAGTCTCTTCCATCAGCTTGTTTCTAGCATCTAATCAACGCTTATAGGTTTTATTGCGTTTCACATATTTTGATTATCAACGATACCGCCTTTACATAGAAATTTATTATATCAGGTAAAATAGCTTGAATATCATTACCCTGCGAAAATCTTAGTTCTTTTATTACATCATGAGCTTCGTCAAATTCATAGATTTGTTACTTATTTTCTTCTATTCATATAACAATGAAATAGCTAAACTGTTAAATATTTCAAAACCTTACATATTTTTTATCCAAAATTGTTCATCATCTAAGACAATATCACTTATTTCTCTTGGGAATCTACCACAAACAGTTTCTATAAATTTTTGGTTGGAAAGTTTTATAGAGGAAGCCCACCTTGAGCTAATCCTAATTAATGCAATTGACATAGTGTGTTTATTTCTATAGTGAGATAAGGCAGCACCTGGCATGTATTTATTTCAAAAAATAAAGTGTGAATTAAATATGACTAATTACCCGTTCAAAATTTTTAAATTTTTTACCTAAGAGGTTTTACATTGATTTTACGTATTCCTATGATAAATCTTGAATTGTCTGCAAAGCCTCTACTTAGTTTTTTATTGGTATAATAACTTATTTGCAGAACATTTTGTACTAGATTGCTTAATTTTTTAATGGTTAGTTTATTATGATGAAATAAAAATCAAATTGTAGGGTGTACCTTGGCAAAATCTCTAAGATGAGTAGACGGTTATCATTTTGAAAAAGTTCTTCATCATACTTTAACTATTATAAATGATATTCTTATTGTTAATATGGATTTCAGGATTATGAATCAGATTCGTTAAAAGCACGTATAATAAAACTGTTTAATGCTATTTTATTCTATCAAAGCGCGTAGCAATAATTAAGTCATATATTTAATCATAAAAATAAAATTATAGAGTATTTGAGGGTATTTTATAGTATTTGACCAGTCAAATATTTGAGGGTATTTTATAGTATTTGACCAGTCAAATGATCGATTTGCCATATCCTCTATGTTTTATTGTAAAAAAATAAAGGAATCCATTTTCTTAAGCTTCCAATTGGTTTATATATTTAAAAGTTCTTTAAAATATTTTTAGATTATTTTGGGTCAATCAAAATGTTATAAAAAAGTGCAAAACTTTTAACACCAAAAATAACCGATATAAATTTTTAAACCCTAACTTGAACGGAATTAAACCGTTTAAAAATGTAAAACTAAGAACCGAAATGGAGCAGAAATTGGTTTGTAACCTTGATCTTAATTTTTATATAAATTAAAAAAATATTCATGACTAAATTATCCATACGTACTAGAGGTGGGCGCGGACAGTGAAATTACGCGTTACACGATGGGTCACGGCGTGAGTGTGAATAAATTTTAATTATTAGTCGTGACTGGGCGTGACGGGCCTTCCCAAAATTTTGCCCTATATGATTGAACAAGAACATAAATTTTCCGTGAATCATGGAAATTTTAATTTTTAAAATTGTTTTTTTAATTATATTATTTATAAATGTTCCAATAATTTGCAACTAAAAAAAAAATTACAATATTAATTTGCTAATTTAATTTAATTCTTTTTGAAAAAGGAATAATTTTTGAAAACAAAAAAAATAAACTACATTTTTCTTCCCCGTCTTATAAAATTTCAATTTGAATGAAGAATAATTTAAAGTATCTCAACTCTCCTTCAGCAATGAAAATTTGGTAATAAATTTAATTTAATTATGTTTTATTTTCATTTATCTTTACCATATTACTATATAATCATTTGCATTCAAATTATAATCAGTCAAAATTAAAGGAAAATTGAACATCTTAACTTATTATTTAAATTTTCTTATATTTACCTATAAATATAAAAGAAAATTAATGCAGTTTAAAATTTAATGAATATAACTGCATTCAAAGTTGATGAAAGTATACCATGTTCATGCCCTTTATTAAATAACATAATATGCAATATATTTTTGATAATTGCTTACCTGAAATAGCTATAACTGTAAGTATAAATGGTGTAAAAAAGATAGTGCAATATTTTAAGAAATCTGAAGCAAACAGCAAGCTAAGAATTTATATGAAGGTATAAAAACGATGGAACTATGTATATATCAAGATACAAAGTTACTTATAATCATATGATGAAGTATAAGTTTTCCTGTTTAACAAACAAGAATTAAATAGATTTGCTACCATTCACATGACAGTTAGATAATTTTTTATCAATATTCGAAGAATGCCTAAAAATCTGAGCCCAGATTCTGTCCTACTATAAATAAAGTTTATAAATTTATGAAATTTTATAAACCTTCAGAGGTGATACAGTAATAATCAAAACCTTAATGAACAGGACATATCTCTTTTAAAGGAAAGATTTATTATGCAGCTACTACATAAGATAGGTTTAATTCTAAACCCAAATTTTAAAAGTCTTAAGTTTTTAACAGACGATGAAAAGGCATACAATAAAACAACTTAAAATGCTAAATGATTTAAAATTCGACGATATGCATAAAACAATGACAACTATCATTTTTAACTTATCTAGTTCATCAAGCATAAAAAACCCGCATATTCTCTAGATAAAAGATTTAGAGAATTTCTAGATAATTTTGATAAAGCCTTAATATCTGCCGATGAAAGTTGTGAAGATGAACTTAAAAGATTCATCGCTCATAAAGCAAATAACAATGACAATATTTTGAAGTTTTGGAAGCAGGAAAATTCATTTTATTTTTTGAGAAAATTAGCTAATAAAATTTTGTCTGGACTGCAAGTTCGGCTTATAGTGAAAGGTTATTTTCTATAACCAATCGCTTATTAGAGGAAAGGCGAACACAATTAAAATTTTAAAAAATGGAACTTCTTCTTTTTCTAAATAAAAATTTTGATTTAGAAATCGTAATTATTATATGGAATTAGAGAAATAAAAACTATGATAGAATAAATTCAAATAAGCGTAAAAGTTTTGAAAAATTTAAAAACACTCTGAATTTCTGGGTGCGACGGGCTTAATCAAAATATTGTCTTTCTTAAGCGGGATTTCAGAACGAAGTAATTTATGTAAAAAATTAATTTTAAATGAAATGATTATTATAAAATACAAATGGTATTTTTAGTAAGATATATCTTGATTAGATCATTTTCAAATCAAGAACCTTAATTCAATTTTTACCTTTTCAATTTAAACCTCTACAAGTTTAAAAAAAAACAATCAAAAACAATTCCACTTGTCTTGACCTAACTATAAAGAGAAGGAAATGACAGCGTCCTTCATGAATGTCTACGCAAGTTGCAAAGTAATTAATAGCTGTTATTTTAAAATATGTAACACAAGAGCATACATATTGAAAATTTTATCATATTAAAAGGTAAAAAGAATTATATGCGCAAATATACATATAATTTTTCTGTTATACTACAAAATCAAGATCTGTATTTGTGCCAAGAGCTCAAAATACAACAAATTTCTTTACTGCTTAATAACTGGACTTCACATTAATATAGAATTTATAGCTTAAAAATAGTGGATGCCTTCAGAGTTTTACTCTAAGAGACTAGAATGTTTTGATATCATAGTTAGAAAAAAATGCTATAAGAATTTAGTAAATATAGTTGGGTTTTAATCCCACTTCATAATATAAAAACTTTATTTTATATTTTGGCAATTTTACCCATAAGCACTTGTATAGATTAAAGGTCATTTTTAACCGTAAAGCGGGTGAAAATATATTTAAAAAATAGCTTCGCTCTCCATAGTAATTCAGTGTCTTTGAATGTTAAAGTAAACAATATCCCTCTCTCTGTATTGCAGTCCTAACGCGTGATTGTCCACACAAGATGGTTCAGGGATGAAGCCCCCTTGATCGATTTAAAAAAAGTACCGGATATACAACTGGTGCTAGGTAATATACACATATCTTTATAGACTTACAATTTCATAATTTTATTATATAAAATTTGGTCTAAATAACAAATAGATGATACTCCTTATAACAAAATTAATTTTATCTCCTTTATTCTTGAAATTATAAGATATTATATATAAACCTAGCATAAGTGTAATATAAAATAATTTTAAAAAATTAAAATTTAATGAAAGGGGGAATTTGACATCAGATTAAATAAAATAAAGACTTTACTAGGTTAACCCTTTAAGTTTTCACATAAAATTAATATTAAGCTGTTTTTTAATAAATACGTGAATTTTTTTTTTAAAAAATACAACCTCCATATATTCGTAGTGGTTTAATTTTATAAGATCAACTCCTTTATAAGATATATAAGTTGAAAGGTGGTTTTATATTTGCATTACCGTGACCGTGTGTGTACTGTTACTTAGTGTATATTTCAAAGTTATTTTCATTCTGTTAAGCTTTGAAAGAATCTAATTAAGCAATTTGGAGTTTAAAAAATGTATAAAACATCAAGTTATGTTCTATTATTTAAAGTAATATTCATTTAATCTATTTTTTTTAAAGAATTTATTAATAAAATGTAAAAAGTTTTATAATTGAGTTAAATTTTCCAACAATGGACCTTATTATATATCACGCGAATATACAAATAATTAGCTAAAACCAAAATAATCTAATTTGGAAATTAGGGACTAACCTGAAAATTTGACGTTGTCATATAGTATATATATATAAAGTATATACTCTGTTTTAAATTTTTTGACTTATGATTTAGTATAAATATAATCTTAAATCGTTCATTTAATCAACCCTCCAATTCTTTCTTATATTAACCTTTAATAAAAATTAAAATATGATTAACAAAATTTTATTTTTACAAATTCCTTATGAATTTATATAAAACATTTTATAAAAAAAATTTCTTTATAAAATTCTTCTTTATTAAACATATCAATTCAATAAAATATTTCGTGACTCAATATAAAAATGATATTCAGGATTCGGGGACATCATCCAGCAATTATCTTTTTATTATATTTTAATTTCTAGACATATTTAATTAAGTTATATTATATTTACATATAATTGATTTTGATTAAACTTCTCTTATTTTATTCGATTTATTTTGTTTAAAATATTATTTAAAAAATATATTACTTTTCAGTGTCTTATTTACATAATTACTCATGATTTCTAAATTTGAAAAAAAATATTAAATGCTTTTCTGTTTCGTCTTACTAAATAAAATACAAAATAAATTTAATTTAATTTAATAGAATTTTGTTATTTATTTTATTCTTTTAAAGTAAATTTTTTTCGTATAGTTTTTTTTTAGCAAAATAAATTTTAATAACTTTAAATTTAATATTAAAATTTAAAAACTCTTTATAAGTTCAAAAAAAATATAAATTTAATGTTTGAAATTTGAAAACAAAAATTCTAATAAAAAAATTAAACTTTAGTAAAAATAATTTCCTAGTTCAAAAAATTAAAAACATTATAATAACTGTTATATAATAATTATTTGGCGAATCAGTTAATTTTAAAAATATTTCCAAATTCCATATTATATTTCATAATATCCGTAAGATAATATTTGATATTGATGTTTATAGCTAAAATGTATCTAATTTAATGAAGAGAGAGAGAAAAATTGAAATCGAAAACTATTTGATTGAGTTAAGCAGTTCCTCATAATTTAAATGGCTTGAATTATACATATATCAATTTTTATTGCATTTATTTATTTAACTAATGATTATCAATTATGTTCTGCGTGAACGGACAGATCGTGTCATGCAAAATTATTGATTTTTGGCATAATATGAATTCGTTTTTTTATGTTATTGAATTATTAATTCTTTATTATTATTTTCATTTGTAAATGTAATATATAATATAATAATGAATATTTTTTACTATTAATTCAAATTGTTATCATATCTTATAAATAATGTTTATAATATTAATAGAAGTAGGAAAATCTATAAATGAGTTAATTTTTTGATTCATGACCTTTAGATTTATTATAGTAATCATTAAAATTTTAAAAATCCTTGAGTGGACTTTTTATTATTATAAAAAAGTTAAAAGTTTTGATTAGATCGTATGTTTTTCAACACTCAAGACCTTCAAAATGCAGTTGAAGCAAAGATAATATAGTAATTTAATTTAAAAATTGTCTTGCGACTGAAAATATTATACTATGAGAGAAAGATATTTTAGCATCTCGGCCTTTAGGGCTTAGATGTTCTTCGCTTTACTATTTAACCCAAATATATGTTTCATATAGTTATATGATAATAATATTAAAATTTTATTCAACATACTGAAAAACCTCTATGTTCTGTGGTCAGCGGCTATTTTTAAACATCGAATCTTTAAAAGTATATGAATCCAAAATAAAAAACACTATGGAAAAAATAATTAATCTCAAGTTTGTTTCCAATTTATGGCATCAAGCCACTCTCCACTGCAATAAAGGAAATATAGGGTTACAATCACCCATAGTCTTATCAATCAGTGGTTTTATCTCGTCCAGATGGGCAAGCTTCAAAATAGTAACTGATCACTTATCCTTGCCAGATGCTCTATTTGAAGAAGCCTATATCATATGGAAAGCCTCAGTGGGCGGTGATCAACTTCTGGCCTCCCATGAATAAAAGGATTGGGATAGTCCGATGATTGCAAGGTCCTTTGATTAACTCTACTATCTGAAGATCATACCCTCTTAGCCTCTCTCAACCAAGGGTCTGGATATGAATACCTAGACGCCATTCCCTTTAGAAATCTTGACCTCGAGCTGTCAAACCAAGAATTCAGCTTTGCAGTGACCATTCGCTTAAATGTGACTGTCTCAGTCTTATATGAGTGCTCCAAGTGCAAGAAGTTAGGCCAATCTGGCTGTCATTTTCCACTGCATCTTTAGCAGTGGACGTTCAATTCAACATATCAGATGCAATGCTCTCATTAAACGGGTTTTAAGTCTGCAAGCTTTCCTACCACTTTAGAGCCCCGGCTGGTCTCTTCACTGATGGGAGACGGCCCGATGGACAAATTTTTTAGGAAGTGGCCTATTTCTAGTCTAACATCAATAAAGACATCTTAAAATGTACGGAAGAGTTTAACAATATGTGAACATTCCTGAATGAATATTAATTCATACCAGTTTGCACTATAACCATGACATTTTTGAAGCCAGGCTCTTAATCTAATTAAAATTGACAGGGTCACAAGAATTAAATCAGGAGACCCAAAAGGCGTTTACTTACGTCAACGCAGAAATTCAAATTATAAAATCTAATTTAATATTCTTTGTAGGTTAATTTTCCGAGCAGCTGGAATGATCTAGATCTTTTTCCCTTCCCAACATTGTTTATAATCATTTTTTTTCTCATTCTCAAATTAATAAATATATGTAGGGGAGACTGGGGTTAGTCGAACCAATTTTTACAAAATTGTCTATAGCTCTTGTTGTTTTATAGATAATATAAAAAATAATATATGATTGGATACCTAAAACTATACTCTATAAAGGTGCCTTATAAAAAATCTTAAGAATATAATTATTTTTTTTTAATTTTATTTTTTGTAAAAGTGAAAATTTTGTTCAACAAGCTCCAATAGCGGGGTGGGGCAAACCACTTCAAGGGGCTTCCTAAACCATTGGTTTTTTTAGGCCATAATAAATTGAAATGCATTTTTATTTATTAATAATGATATGTATAGAATAATTTTATTGTTTTATTGTTCAAAATATCATAATACTTATTAATTGAAGCTAATTATATATAAAAATTGAAACTTAACTTTGACTAATTTAATAAACATTTTGGACATAAAAAAATATGAATTTTAAGGAGAGATTAAGATTTATTAGCATAAATCCTAAATACCAATCATAAACAGCCATGAAATTGCCTTTTCAAGATTTTGAAATTTTTTTCATTATTAATTGCTATAATTGACGTGTATGGTTTAGCAAACCCCGCTAGCTCTTAATTGACAAATCATGATTGAAATAATATCTAGATTTGATAAATACTCATAAAACTTACCCAAATTATAGAAGAATGTTTAAACTTTGTAATAAAATTTAATTTACATATAAATGATCATATATTTTAATAAAAATTTAAATTCTGTCATGTAAAAATCTTTTGAATATTTCATCAAAATTTTATTTCTTAAATAAAATTTTTAGTAATTAATTATTTTAAAATATATTTTGTCCATAGATGTATACTAATGAAAACTATATTAGGATAAAATTTTAACTTTCTGGCGTATTTGATTTTAAAATGAGATTAAGTGGTTTGCCAAGCCCCGGGGGTTTACTTAACCCCAGTCTCCTCTACCTTTTTTTCTCATTTATATTCGCGATTCTGGTATTTATAAAATTTTAATATACTATCTGTATGAATTAAATTGATTTTTCCCGTAAATTTATAATTATTGATTTATATTTATTTAATCTATTCACTCATTTATAATGTATTTATATTATAGCAACATATTTTCAAATATACATTAATTTTTTTAAATTTTATATTAATATATTTTAGGTAAACAAATATAACTTGTATTTTTATAAACATTTATATATTTTAAAATAATATTTAATATCTTTTAATTTTAAAATAAATTGTTATTAGATGTAAAACAAATTAAAATCCTGCAAATAATGATCGTGTAGTGCTTGTCTTTTTTCTTTTTAAAAATATAATGTTGCAATATAATTTTTAACCCATCACAGGAGCCCAACCAAGAGAGAGGGAGGGATTTCCCCTCATAGCAAATTTGTCTGTTGCCGTAAATATCATTTTAAGCTAATAAACATTCCCCCCCCCCTCCGAATGTATACAATATATCACTAAAAAGAAGAATTTGAAAGAAATTAGTAAAAATTAAAAACTTTTTAAAATAACAACAAAATTTCTAGAAAAAAAACATTTTTTATAAGAAAAAAAAGTGAAAACCCAAAATTTATTTTATAAAAAATATAATATCAAAGGCCTTCAATAAGTGGACCTAAAGACCTCCAATAAATTTTATGAAAAACTCTACCTAATAGTGTTTCTCCTTCTCTAGAAAAATCCTGGATATACCTATGACCCATCATTATGTGTTTGTCAAAAAATTTAAGAAATAATAAAAACGTATTAACATTTAAAGGATCCGGTCGAAAGCCGGGCAAAATGGTATATGAGAGTATGAGGGCAAAGACCCATAAAAATGAGGCCGCTAGGAAAATGCGTCTACAAGGCCGCAGCATTGCCAATTCGCTTCTAGCCATATACACTCGGAGGAGAATAGTCATACTATTTTATTTAAACATTTTATCACTAATTGAAGCATAAAGATATAGGATTCATTCATAGACTTATCTAAACCGAATATAAACCAAATTGAAATTTATTTCGGTTCGTATCCCTGGCTTTATTAATGTTTGATATTTATAAATATTAAAAACATATTAATATACTATTTTAATTATTATATAATAGGAAAATTACAATCTTAATTATTAAGATGGCTACCTAATACGTGTCATTCTTTGCCTTCCTGTCGTTATCAAATGGTCTATATAGATTACAAAATATTATTCCGTTTTATGAATATAGTTTGAAGTTTAAGAATTATATCTATATAAAATTAATATGTATATATGAAGTTTAGGAATTATATCTATATAAAAAATATTATTAATTTGAATGCGTGAATTCGTAACTACACTAAAATAATGTAGTATAAGAGATTTTTTGTTAGAGGCAATATAATTAAATAGATAAGCAGTTAAGAGTGATGGCCACTGGCACATAACCACTTATCCCCGATCTCTTATATAAATTATATTTTAATTTTATATAGTGGAATCGCTATCTTTTTCTATTTATATGATGGATGGGAAGGGCTCAATTTTGAGTAATCTAAGAAATTCAGAAAATTCTATTATAATTGCCTAGCAAAAAAGGAAAATTCTCTAAAAGTAACAAAAAAAGTTACCCATATCGAAATATATTTTTAAAATTTCTGGGGGTTTTCCAAATTTTTTAATGGGCTTGAGTCTTCACTCCCTATTCCAACGATACACTTATTTTATTCTTTTTTTATGAGTGTTAAAGAAATTGTTAAAAGAAATTCTTGATTTATATCGCTGTATTCAAAAACTGATGCGCCACAAATACTTTATAAATTTTATTAAAAAATTTGACAATTTTATTTTTGTATAAAAAAATTATATTTTGCTTATTAAAAATTAGTGATATAAAAATTCGTCATTGCAATTGTAGATCTAAATGCAATAACAAGTCTACTATAAATCAATTATATCTAAACCTGTGCGCCGCTTGCAATTTTATTCACGCCAGAACAGCCTCCGATTGAGATCATCGGCGCGAGTCGGCTCGCCGCCAATTTTATTTATGGCGGCGGCGCAGTATGTATAATTTTTAGAATGCTGTTTAATTATATATATATTAAATTATTATTATTTAAATTTGAATATTAACATTAATAAAATCAACATATGAATTGTATTATATTGCTAATAATAGAATAGTGTATATCATTTACATATATTCATATATCGTATTTCATTTCCACAAACAATATATATTAATTATTTTTATGGACTTGCACGTTTTAAACTACCCTATATACAATTCTGAAATAGCAACTCTCTCTACTAATCATAAATCAAGTTATGTCTGGAAGTAATTTGGAAATCTTTTTGAAGAATGAAAATAAGAAAAGTACAATAATGCCTGATTATATGTATTGCGAACCTTGCCTAAAATTGGGGAAAAAAGATGAGGAAGATTCGGATAAACATAATCCATTTTATTGATATTCTCATTAAAAAAATTAGAGAAATTATTTCAGCCCACAGATATCGAGTAGCTGATTTGGAATGTGAAATTGAGGAAGAGCATCGTAAATGTATGCAGTCAGTTTATGAGACAGGTCATATCTTGGATAATGATGATTCTGATCCATACTTTGATGACCATTTTGATATGTCTGATGAATCGATAGAAATGGCATTGCACCAATCAATCTAATTAATATAAAAACTTTAAAATTAAATTGCCCTACCAGCTGGAAAAGCATATTAATTATGCTAGAAAGTGTTCGTATTGTAAACAAAATTCCTATAAATAATGTTATAAATAAAATAGGAAAACAATCTTTAAAACTCTTTTAATGAATGGCATATGATTGATGAGCTTTACGCAGTATTAAATCCCTGAGAGTCGGTGAAATTTCTTTCCTCCCAAAAGGAATCGACATTATACTTAGGGTTATTATTTCGCAGTGAAATAGAAACCCTAAAGCAATAGATCTGATTGCTCAGATATTATTTGGAAAAGAAAATATGAAAAAAAAACTTGACCATAGGTTTCCAATTACTGAACTTTAAGTTATTTTATATTTTTATTAATAAAATTATATTTTAAACATTTATATTAGCGACTCTATTTGATCCCAGATTTCAAAATCTTAAAATTGTTTGAGAATATTTTAATTCGAATTTTACGACATCATTGCAATTTTTAATTAGACATTTAAAACTTTTAGATGATAGAATTGCACAGAATGAGATTCAAGTTGAAGATAATGGGCAAGCATCCAGTTCTTGTATAACTAATAGCTCGTGAACATTCCCTTCCAAGCAAAGATTATAACAACATTAGTAATCTAGAACAAGAATGTCATATTTTGCTCAGCCAACATAATATCCCAGAAGAGGTTGCACATTAATCTTTTGGGAAAAAGCGACAGGAACTTCCTAGGCTTATTTAGCCAGGAAGGTTCTTTGTATACCTACAAAAGAGTTTTTTCTATTCAAAAGGACTTCTTTATATCCCACGAATCTTGATAAAATACTATTTATTCATGACAATTATAATTTTTCTGAATCTGAATTCTGATTTATTATATTTCATACTTTATATTTTGTTTGCATTCCAAATTTATATTTTAATTTGTTATAATAAAAACAATAGAATATTACTAATATGTGTTGTTTATGTGACTCTGATCTGAGTAAAAATGCAATTTCAGAGTTTATTTCTGAGAATGAGAAAATTAAGTTTAAATTGGAGTGAGACAGGAAATAATTTAAGAAATGAATTAAACTATGTTAACAATGTGTTAGAAAAGAGCGCCCAAATTAATTATAAAAAAATGTAATACTTTGATTTATAAATTAAATTCATTAAAAAAATACAATGATTTATAAATTAAATTTTTTTAAATTAAATATAGCGCCACCGCCGCCGGCAATTTAGTAGGCGGCGGCGAAATCGGCACGCCGCCGAACGCCGATGAAAAAATTAAAAAATAACGCCGCCGTCGATTGAGACATTGGCGCACAGGTCTTATTATATCATGAACTATGTTGTACTCGTATATACTTAGCATTAGCCATTAGTGTATTATTAAAGTGAAAGTTTTTCCTGCTCTATTATTGGTTTATCGTATATTATTTTTTAAAAAAGGAAAATGTTTCATTGTCATATTTTACGATTAAATTTATAAGATTTTTGAAATTATATTTTAATCGAACTTCAATATTATTATTATTACTCCACTATATTTATAAAAAAAATTTCAAAATGGTCAAAGTTTATTTTTAATTCGTAGTTAAAATTTATATAGAAAATAAAATGAACAATGCAAAGGAAACACTTATATTGTCAAATAATAATTGACTTTTTAAATCACTAAAGTCATTTTTATTTGTGAAATAGTTAATAACTTCTTTCTATTTATTAAAAATGAAAAGTATCCTTATAGACGGAATGCGATAGGATAAAAAAATGAAGAAATATTTTTTAATTGTTAATATAATATTTTGAAAATTTCACAATTGTTTGAAATAATAACAATAATAAAAATAATATTTGAAAAGATATTGAACATGAATTTTAAATCGAACAAAAAATTGTCATATAAAAAATAACCATCATCTTTTTTTGTTATAAATGAAGGACATAAATATGTAGAATTATGTAACATAGTTGTATGATAAAAAAAATGACATTGTACGATGCGATTTGCCTTCATGAATAATTTTAATATTGAATATTCCTATTTATTTATATTTTAAAGAAGGCTTAACGAAATGTGGATATTTTGGATATTTTTATCGTGGAATTTGAAATGCTTTTTATCAATACTTCCTCCCATTACTATACCAAAGCAATTAATCCCGCCTTGTGAAAGGTTTAACATTTCGACCAATTAATGTATTAAATCGTTTTTATTTATAAATATTTTGTATTAAAAAAATACTATTTTACAAAATTTAATCACAGTTTTATCTTTCGTTAAATTATTCAAAAGCGAAATATTTTGTTACGGGAGAATTTTACACACCATGCAAACATCCCAAATATTCCAAAATGACAAAGAATTTTTGCACATGAGACTTAAACGTAGTCCAAGTGAGAATAAATTTTTATGTAATTTTTGAATACATGTTATATGTTATTACTAGAATTTAAGTGTATACTAGATTCTTTTACATTTAAATTATTTGTAGCCCATATTTTTTTTAATTTACAAATTTTTCCGAAATTGTCTTTTCGTATGTGTACAGTACCTACTCTATGATTTTTAGACAACTTTGTCATCAAATTTTTAATTAAAATTGATTCAATAGATTTTTATATATTAATTAAATTTACTTATCATAATATCACCAATTTCTAGAAATTCATAAGATTAGGTTAGGTACTATACTCATGCAGGAATACAATTATGGTAAAATCCAGTCTTTAATATATAAATATAACGTATAAATGATTTATATGCTGAAGATACTAATATGCCTTACTACATACATAGGGCTGTGCAAAGGCTTTTGGCAGCCCCGGAATAAAAATGAAATTTTCTTATAAGCTTAAAAAAAATCATAAAATAACTAACTTCGTCAAATGGGATTTGTGAATAAGCAGCTTGGAATATGAAATAAGTAATGTAGTACTGTAAATATTTAAAAAAATTAATTTGTTCGCGTTCGTCGTTCATTAACAAAAACTGAGTACGTTCGCGCTACATTCATTAGTAAAAAAGGTAAGCATTCAAATTGGTAAACGCTTTCAATTAAATCCATAAATATTATATTTTTTTTAAAAATGCATTTCATATTTAATATAAATAAATGTCAAAAATAGCATGTCCATGTTACCCTGCATTCACAGTTAACGCAAATTCACGGCTAAGTATAGTGCTGTATTTTTGTATACTTGGCCGCAAATTCGCTCTAACTGTGAATACAGGGTTAGCCATTTGATTCTTTATTTTTATTTTGTATATAATATAAGATATATAATGTGTAAAATTATAAAAATTTAACACGATATAATATAAAAATTTTCATTAATGTTAAATAATCGTTTTTCAAATTCCGCCTGATAAGGAAGAGTAATCAAAACGGAATTAGAATCAAAAAACGAGTTTTACAGGAGCTGAGGAGTGCCGTATTTATTTAATGAATTATAATTTTATTTTAGGATGATTATTAAAAATATTTAATTTTTATCCTACGTTTGAATAATTTTAAAATAAACTCCTCTCCAAACTATCCATTAATTCATTTACGAAAAAAAAACGAGATTTCACAATTTGCATTTTTTCCTGAATCTTCTTCAACTCTAAATTTTTTAATCGATTTCTTTAAATAATTTTTTTTTAGCATTTCATTTTGTGGAAACATTATCCAAGGAATTCTAGTTTTCCGGATGTATACCTAAATAAGATAACCATTTCAAATTAGAGACACAAAATCTTAAGGAAACAGCTGACAAATTATTCAAATTAAAAAAAATAAATATTAGCTTTTTTAAATTTGAAAGAGCGTAAAAACCAACGCTTTGGTCAAAAAAAATGTTAATGTTAAAAATTCATCCAAAAAAGGCCATTCATCATGTTTTTTAAGAACCTATTTAATTTGACCAAATTTCATTTGAAACATTATATTTATACAATATTAAAATAGTAAATAAAAATTATTTGTATAAATGTCTGAATTAAGTAATTTCGGCATTTTTTAAATTACAATTTATTTAAAAGCATAAGAAATTTTTTTGGAAGCTCTTAAAATTAGTGTTTGCAATGATCCGGTCCTAGTCGGCCTCATCATACTCTTGGGTCCCAAGGGACGGTCCGGTCCGACAATACGGTCCCATAGTTCGGTTCGGTCCGACCGAAGACCGATTAAGGAAGATAAAAGTTTACTACACTATGAATTGTTTTTAGTTAATGTGCATGTATAAATGATGAAATAACAAAAAACGAAATAGAATGAATCCAAAGATGGTTCAATCTATAATGACACTTGAATCGGATAAAAAATGGAATAATTTTTGATTTTTTAGAAGATAATTAAAATATTTATTTATATATAATTTATTTTATAACTATCTATCGCATTATATATATATCAAAAAAAATTAATTAAATATGTAAATCAAATTGATTTAAATTATATTCAATAAATTTGTATTTTAATATTCTTTTGAAATATTAGGCATTTGTATTGTATAATATAAATGATTTGATGATATAATTAAAATATTGGTATTTTGACACTTTTCATTTTTAATAAATTTAATTCAGAATAAAACTTTTGTAGCCTAATAAAAAAATTTTTTAGATGGGACCGGATCGGACTGGAGGGATGGTCCCACGATCCGGTCTCATTTGACTTAACGTTCATCGGTCCGGTCTCATTTTAGAAAAAGTGACCAGACCGGACAGACCGGACCGTTGCAAACACTACTTAAATTAGTCTAATTTAGCGGCCCATGACTTCCCTGTCGCTGGCTCGTTGTACGTGCTTATATAGCATAACCTGCTTATATCAATGTTCCTTCTCAAGAGATCAGAAATAAAATGTTAAAAACATGAATAGTTAAAAAAACATTTTGTGAAAAAATTATATATAAGCGTAGACTATTATGTATAATTTATTGGATTATTTTTTCAGAAAATATTTTGTAATAAACATCTCGATTAAAAAAGTAAAAAGAATTAAGTTATTTATGTTTCATTGGCCGATTTTAAATATAGATATTTTAATAGGAGGGAGCGGAGGGAAATATATTATTTTAAGTTTGTGGAGATACTGATGATGAGGAATAAATCACTCTATTATCAAAGCTAGTTACTATAAATTAAATTTATTATTCATTAAATATAATTTATGTGCTAAAAAATATTGAAGGCAAGATTAAATCAAGTTTTGAACTATTATCGCAAAACTTGACAACTTTTGACAAAAGACTTAAACAGTTTCTAAATGAGAATTTTGAAAAAATACCCACTAAATCGATACAAAATCCTATCACTCAGACATTTTTGAACATAACGGAAGATATGGAGCTCTGGAAACCTGATGATTGGGTTTCAAGACCTGATTTCTTGAAGAAAATAAAAGACGAAAGATTGAGACAATTAGCTAATCGCTTACATTTCCAGTGGTTGGACCTGAGTCGCAAAGTTTTACATTTATAACTATATTCTATACAAATAATCCTGTTCATGGTAATCCTTTTTTAAATAGATAAATCGAAATGTAAAGCGTAACAAAGATAGGTATACTATCATGTATATGCGAGATGGATTTATACTACCAAGTTTTTTAGCTGCTGAAATGAGATATTTGTGAGTAATATTTTTTTGAAAAAATAGTCTCATTCTTTCAATGACTTTATATATCCATTTTATATGATAGGTTATATCAATATTATTTATTTTTTTACATATAATATAGTGATAATTATTTCATAGTCCGCGCTATGCTATTGGCTGGTATGAATGAAACAGCTAAAGGGATTATTAGAAATATGGTGGATCTTATTGAAGAGTTAAATTAATATCATTTAATAACCAAATATTTTACCATAAATTTATTTTTAGAAACAATTTTAACATGACACCATATGGTAATAGGATTTATTTCAAGGGTTACAGCTCAATTCCATTGTTAATATTAACAGTATATGAATATTGGAAAATCAGCAACGATACTCATTTTGTAATATCGATACTAAAACAATTGGAGATAGATAACAATTATTGGATAAATAAACAATCATACATTAATAGGGCTGGACGCATATACCCATTTAGTACTTACCAGGTTTCCCCAAACTCTCCTAGGTATTACTTAATATTATATGATAAATAATTACACTTATTCAACCATTTATTTATTTTATGAGAGACCCTTTGAATATAACAAAGATATACGATTGGCCAAAACAGTTTTTGAAGGTTTTTAAAAATTAAACGATTCTCTATTTATACTAAACTATATTTTAATCTTATGGGTTAGAGTCTGTTAAAAAACTTTACACCAACATTGGTTCCATGACAGAATCCATATGGGAAGAATCTAGCAGATGGAATGCGGAAAAGAATGATGATGATCCATTTAGATCTGTAAGGATCATCGAAATGATTCCCGTAGATTTAAACGCTATATTATGTTTAAACGAAAGATTACTCTCGTTTTTCTATAATTTAGCAGGTTATTCCTCTTTTTTCCTTCAAAATTATAAATATTAATTTTAAAAATATAAAATGGATTTGAATATATATACCAATGATGGCGCTAGGGGAAGGGTTAAAGCGAGCTTATCAATTAGCATGCTTAGATTTAGCAATGTCACTCCTCTTTTTACAGCCCGACCCGAGTATAGCCCCGGGTCTATTTTAAAAAATAATTTCGGTTCGGGTTGGGTGGGGCCTAATATTTTTTAATAAATTTCTGACCGGATCGGGTTTACATTTTTGATATGATATTATTACATTTTGTCAAATAATTAGATATATTTTAAAATTCTTGCAAGAAACAAGGCGCTAATATTTTTTACTTGGAGAATATATTTTTTACAATCAAAAAATATTAAATTTTTCTATATTTAAATAAATTCGGGTGGGGTCGGGCGGACGAATAATTTTTATTTCGGGAAGAGCTTTTTGGGACAAATGGAAAAAAATTTGTTAGGAATCGGGCCTGGTAGGACAGATCTTTTTTAAAAAAATTGAACCGGTCGGGCTTGTAAAATTAGGCCTAATGCAGATCACTAGTATATAGTATATACTATAATAAAAGATTGAATACCATCTCCAGTTTTGTAAAAATATTTATTAGATATTGATTAATTATGTTTTAAAAATTGTTTATTGTCACATTTATTGTCTATTTAATTCTAAAAAATATTATTTTATCATAACTTCATAAGAAAGTACAATGCAATCTACTCTTCACGAAAGACGTTGTCGAGATAAAATTAGCGCATTAAAATTACTCTGGGATGATGAAAATGGAGTGTGGTTCGATATGGAAAGCCAGAATGAAAAATTGATAAATATTTGGTACGCTTCCAGTATGGTTCCATTATTTACCCAATGTTATGGCGATGGATTAGGTGGTAAAAGTAACATTACCTACGAGAGTAGAGTTTTGGCTTATTTTAAGGTAGTTATTAATTAAACATTTATTTTAGGGGAGACCGGAGTAAAACAATTGGTATTTTGCATTTTTGCCATAAAATTTTGAAATATAAGCAAGACAGAATAAATTATAGATTTATATGAAATCAAATCATGCCTCATTTACAAAACAAAAAAAGTGTATCTTTCTGCCTATAAGTTGTGATTAATTAAGTGAAGTGTACCATTTTTGCCATTTTACCTCATATCCATATTAAGGTTGTTAAAATAAAATGAAACATAACTTTTGAACAAAATATTGCAATTTTGGCATCTTGGCAAAATATTTCAACCTCAAACCAGGGATTTAAGGTTTTTATGTTCAAGGAGTTAAAAGCTATTCGCGTCAACATTGTAACACCGTCAATCGCTTTACTCCAGTCTCCTCTAATAGTGTTATTAGCTTATATATAAGTTTTAACCTTTATATCATACACTTTCCACAATCTATTTTAATTTTCTATTGTAAGAGCAATTTATTAAAATTAGGCAAATAAAAAATAAAAATCATGTTCATATCAATTTAATACTCTTTTCCCGCAAAGTGTATTTAAAAATAACGACTTTAAGAAAATATTATAAATTTGGAATTTTTAAATCAATTGGAAAAGGGATGGATAAATTGTCATTATAACTTTTGATAATAAGAAAAAGAAAGATTTTTAGATCGAAAAGAAAAAAATTGTCACCCTTATAATCACTTTTTATCGATGCCTATCAAATTAAAAATAGATTACTCTCGCTAATAATTAATCTTATTAAATAAATTGCAAAATTTAAAAAAATCGCCAAAATATAATTTTTAAAAATTTTAAATAGACGCCATCTAGCGGATGTAAGATTCTTTATTTATTAATCATAATTCTAAAATTTAGATATTAAACACAAACTTTCTTATCTGAATTAGTTATAATGGTATTAGTTATTTCTATATTTAAATATCTTTTAATCCCCATAAATAACTACTATTGCATACAGTTAACACTTTTAAACATTCTATGATTTCGACCATTTAGTCAATTATCCATAAATCAGGAAAGTTGTGCCTTTTCCACATATTTGGCCGCAATCCACTAATATTCGTTATACCACATGAAGAATATAGCAGCTCCTATATCCGATAATATGGATATTCTTTATTTCCTACTATTATTTTTAAGTGTCAATGATCATATTTCGTACTACCCTCTAACATAAAATGAAATTTGACAGCGGAGTTTTATTTACAAATGATATTTTTTAGGTCTTCTTTACTTTCTATTTTATTCATATAAATTAATTTTTCGTTACCTAAAATATTATTTCCTGATTCGGATTGGGCTTCCGATGTAATAGACCTGATTATTTTTTACTATTAAATAGTCAGTTTTCCAGGACAATTTACTGCATAATGTCATATATTTCTTAATTTAAAAGATGTTATAGCTCAGGTATTATTTCCATATTACACCCTTGGTATTATAATAGCATATACCTTTGGTATATATGTCACCCATGTTATGTATTTAACGAGTGAGAATGCCCCTTTATTTAATGGTTATAGACATTTATCTTGTATCCTATCTTATCTCTGAAATACTTAGTGCATATCCTCAGGAATTTTATAGCGGATGCTTGGCAATTTTTAATATTGTAACCTTGATTTCTATATCTTTTATAAGGCATCGGTTACAGTCTCTGTAACACCTTATTATTACACCCTATATGGTCGTATTCTGACCTTTATGATTTATTATACCTATAACCCAAATTATTTTTATCATAATTACACAATTACTATCTATGCAATTCTGATTATGTTCATACTTCTTATTATTTCCGTTTCCGTATCACTAATGATATTCTCTTTTCATTAGTAAATCTAATAATCTTATTATTTTTTTATATCGCTGATAATATTGTCATCACATATTTCTATTAATTTTCCTATAAATTTATCATTTTAAGAATTATATTTTCTAATTTTACCTTTCGTTTTTAATTTTATTTCCAAAATTTTTATATTTTCGTTTTTACTTTATTTTACTGGTTGCATTCTCCCTAGAGGTCGGTACAGGTCTGTAGACAGGAATTTCTTGTTGGGAGGGGGCAACTGTTTACTTTGGGTGGGGGGAGCAATATTTTTTTGAAATAAAACAAGTTAGGCGCTCAGAAATATTTTGCTATTTTTATTAAAAATTTGCAAATGTTAATATGAATACAAAATAATAATATAATGCGACGATTTTTAAATTTTACATAAATGAATTAAATGCTAAATTTTGTGTTATTTCTTTTCATAAGCCATTAAAATACTAAATTTTGTTTACGTTGATCCTTCAATGCAAGACAATATTTCGAAATTTTTAATGTGTTTTTTTAACTTCTGCAGGTAATAATTATTTTGCTATTTCATTTCATGATGTAACGTCTCCACATTTAAGTTAAATAATGATTCTAATGCGGGCCTTTTAACATGGGTTAAGGAGAGGACAATGTATTAATAAAGATTATAATTCATGTGTCAAATGATCTGCAATAATTTCATATTTTTCAAAGAACTCCAATTGTAGTTCTTTTCACAATCAAATTGCAATTTGGTCTCGCTTAAAAAATCTTAAAGATTTGTAGGTGTATAACGTACCCTTGATGATTTTTGAGGGATGGATTTAATTTTGATACAAGTTTTTCAACCATAATATTAAATCATTATCAATTTTTTAATATATTACTATATTTGTACCTACAAATTGTAGATACTTATTTAGTGTATCTATTGTTATTATTACTTCATAAATTATAATGTATATAATGTAATTCATATTAACGCATTGAGATAAAAGATAAAGCCTTCGACTGAATCACGAGTGGAAACGTCTGAGTTAAGAGTTCTATTAGAAAAGTAAAAGAATACTTCATAAATAGCTCATAAATAATTTGAGATTCTAAATGACAAGCTCTAATCTAAAAGTCTCTTAAGAGTATGGCCTGAATATTTACAGGATACGTTAAAAAGCCTAAAAAAATTATACAACGCATTAGATAAATTAGAAATTATAACAATATTATCACACCAAGACACTTTTTTATTAATTTTTTTTGAAGCAGGGTTTGTACTATTCTATTTCGGTAAAGTTTGCACCATCATATGCCTGGCTTATTATATTCGATAAATTAATATTTAATTCATTAAGTTGCTTTAGAATAAATACAATTAATTATGCTTTCAGCAGAAAGCCATTGTAAAACCTATTAAATTTTCTTAAATTTCTCTACAAAAAAATAGAACGAATAATTATGCTCAGGCTAAACTGATGCACCTTTTGTCTCATCAGGCTTAAGCTAAAAAAAAAGGTATCCCACCTTTGTCATATTTTTTTGATATATATTCCTGCATCATATCCGCCATAATAGATTAGACTTCGTTTTGAAATTGTGGTTATATATATTTTACATTTTTGGGTATTCATTTTATAATTTTATTTATTTCAGGATCTTTTTGGATGGGGAATAAATTATATTTTCATCTTTTGCAGCATCAGTAATTTTTGTTGAACTAGCCCTACGAAGTAGCTCCTGTATGCTAAGAAATAGCATTAAATCAAATATTGATTTAAGATAATAAAGATTACGGCTAATTTGTTGGATTACCAAAATTGTTTTAATCTTAGTATCCTTATTTATATTAAGATTTTTATCATGATCCCAAACATAACCAAAAAAAATGAAGATTATTTTTGAGAATGCACACTTGGAATTGTGCTCAAATTTCCAAATTCATTTTATAAAAAAATATTTTGGGATTATGTGAAAAAAATCTTTCATAATCAAATCAAAAAAAAATTAAATCTTTATTTCTTTTTAATCTTCCAATCTTAAAAATCTTTGAAAATTTTTGATTAAACAAATGTTAAACTCTGTTTATATCATATATTTTTTAACATCAATAAAATTATTATAAATGATTATTGATAGAAAATGAAATTGCATAGGTATCTCGGAGGTGTACCTATATCAAAATACAATTCGAATCTGGATTGGGATATGCCTTACACGAATGCGGCGGTGATGCTAATGATTATAGAAGGCTTAGAAGCTAGTGAATTATCATCAGCAAAAATGATAGCCCGCGATTTAGCTCAGAAATGGATATTAGCGAATCTTAAGTCGTATCGAGATACAGAAAAAACGTTTAAAAGGGTAAAATCAAAAAATATTTTTCGCTCCAATTAAATAATTTTATGGTTTTTTTTAGATCGATGTTAATAATTATGCAAAAAAATATCCAGAAATCGAGGTATACTATAATTATATCTTTTTATTAATAACATTATTATAAGGATTACAGCCCATTTTTTTTAGTAGATAAAGGTAGCTTCGATATGTTTAACTCTCTAAAGTCATATATGAGTTAATTATCAAATTGCATGTTATTTTCTAAACATTAAGAAAGCTCAATGATTTAATTTGTCATTATAATATAAATATATAATAATTCAATCGTAATTTATTAGTAGACAGGCTAACGTGTGTCTTTACTTGTATAAAATGGACCTCTACATCATTCACGTTCGCTCATTACTGGGCTGGTCCTAAGCAAACAAAGATAAGATGTTTTAACTTTTTGAAAATTTTGGCCTTTAGTTTTTATGAAATATCGTCTATTATAGGATTTAGCAAAAATTTTCTAAGATCAACATCTTTGAAGATGTTTTCCTTTTTTGAGCAAATGTTAAACTTTGGTCTATTACAATTTGATTATAAATAGAATCTAACAATATTCATTATAATTTTACCATTTTTATTCCTAACAATATTATATTTTTGCGCACAGTGATACCAATTGATGTTATTATTATTTTTTTATATATGAAATAAAATTTGAACTAATTATTTTACGTCTAAGGAGTATATAAAAAAAAAGGCGAGCAGAGGGTTAATAGTGGTAGAGTATCGATCTTTTTTAAAAAAATAAAATTATTTTAACTAAATAAGAAAACTAATTTACTTTATATTTCAATTTTTGAAATTTGTATAACCAATAATTAAGATATTAATGCTAAGGGCTAGACCTGTGCGCCGACAAACTATCGGCGGCCGGCGCAATTTTCAAAAAATCCTATCGACGGCCGGCGGCGCGTCGATTTTTAGCCGCCGTCAACAAAATCGGTGTAAATCGGTGCAGTTATAAATTTTTATAACATAAATTTTTTTAATTGCTTATTATTTTAAAAAAAAACGAATATACATTACCCTACAGATATCTCGGCATATTTTTTAATATTTATTTAATAGAAAACTCATTATAAATCCAAAATTGATTTCGTAATTTTATAATTATCATGTATAAAAATTATTTTATTTAAATTTTCGGGATAATAATGATCCCCTTGAATTTAACGTCAATCCAGCGGTAGAGAAAACTCTTTCACTAGGTGTGCTAGTCATCCAAATGTAAGGGAGCCTGGAAAGATTGGGAAGTTTACTCTTCTTTTCTCTCCAAAAATTTAGAACGTCCATATCTTGTGAATATCGTTTTCCAAGAAAACTGTGGCATTCTTGTTCTAAGTCACCTAACTTGGAATCATAATTTATATTTGTTAAATGTTTATTTGCCAATTTTGTCAAATAACTTAAATTTAATAATTCATCTTGATCCTCATTAGCTATATTTACTATCTGATTATCATCATTCTCTATAAGTTTAAGATGTTTTATTATAAATTCTGAAGCTGAACAATTTTGCTCTATTAAATACTTTGACACAATTGTCAATTTTTGAAATCTTGGATCTAAAAGAGAAGCCAATACCTAGATAATTTTAAATAAAAAATAAAAGAATATATTATTACTTGCAGATTACACACCGAAAATCATAACGCAAGTTTTTTTTAGCATATTTTCCTTAAGTGAAATGATTTCAGGACTTTCACTATCATTTACTATTAAATTTGTTTCAATTTCACTTCTAAAAAGTAACGCCAAGTTTAAAGTAGGCCCTTTTTGTACTGAAAGAAATTCGACAGTTTCTTTAAATTTTGAAAGAAATGCTAATAGATCTTCTACCAGCTCAGATTCATAATTTGATAAAGTGCTTCCCAATTCTTACAAAACATTATTAATTAAATTCTTAATTAATCCAGATATGCTTTCTAGCATAATTAATATACTATGCCAACGTGTTGGGGCATTTAATTTTAAGGTTTTCATATGCGTGGAATTATTGTTATTATTATCATTGGAATTGCCAATTTGAAAAGGGGTATCCGGGTATGGATCAATGCTGTCAAGATCTAACATGTCTGATGTTAAATCTATTGTACTTAAACATTTTTTTGATCTTCCTCAATTCTAATTCAACCTCTGCAGTTTTATATCTTAGAGCTATAATAATTTCTCTAATTCTTTTGCAAAAAAAATTCCAGACTATGGATTTTTTATTATTCAGAGTTAGGATACTAAAATTATTTATAGAATTATTAAATGTAGACATCCATTTTTTAAAATATACAAAATTATGGTAACGAATTTTAGATTTTTGATTGATTGAATTCTATAATGACGTCAATATAATTATGATTTTAAAATAGTAGAAAATAAAAATTCATCATCCTGATTGACATTAAAAAAATTACAACAGTGATGTTGACCAATTATTAGAATAAAAAGGTAAGAAATATGAAAGAAATTTCTGATCGGCGGCGTTTTCGGCATAATGGCCGGCTGGCGCACAGGTCTACTAAGGGCCATACCAAAGTGTTTTTAGCGTTCTAGGAATATAAGAGTTTGGTGGTCATATTTATAATATCATTTTAAATCAACAATATTAAAAACAATATCACAAGTGCTGTGTTTTTTTTATTAAATCATAGAATTCAATAAATATATATTAATATTTAAAATAAATGACAGGAAATATATTCATCAACGAACGCCGTAATTTTAATATTGCTCGATAAATATGGCGATACCTTGATAGCCGACACAGCTATAATCAAGAAAATAAATATCAAAAGTTCGGCATCTACAATATACACATTTCCTCTTCGAATTCAATCAACATTAAACTCATTATACCTAATGCCCATATACATATTTTATCTATTTAAGATATTATCGGCTATCTGATTAATATTTATATTCAAATACGCGTTCATTTTCAAAAAAGTTTGTAAATAAATTTATACATTTCTTAACACACCACAGATCAAAATATGTGAAGCTTGAATATATAAATAAATTTGATATATTTTATTAAGGTAGTAAACCGGAATTACAAATTCTTATAAAACTCATAAAAACCATTAACACCTACCTATACATTTATAATTACATTAATTGTAAATTTGGGAAAAATACCCATATAAATTAATAACGTATAATATAGAAATGTTTTTTTTTAAAATGGGGATCAAAAATCAAAATTATTTTTCAATTTTTCCGGACGTTACTCTCCACATAGCTAAGGGTACATTTTGTAAAGATTGAAATTTATTTTTCTTCCATTTCAGCCACAGAAATCCTATGAATATACATAAAATTGATTCTACGTAATATCCGTCCAAAAATGTGTAGCACTCTTGACAAAACTATTTATACATATACAAAGAGATTAAAAGTACTAAAATTATTTTTTTATATTTGTATATAATTTTGAAATGTTATTATTACTATGAAATTTTATCATTTTGATGAAAAAATTCATAGTGAAAGGTATTTTAAAAAATTATATTGATTATAGAGTAGAGATCAAAATTTTCTAAAATTTATGAGTTGCAAAATCTAACAAGCAAATAGGAACATGTTCATAATTTAAGTGTTAAAAAATATTTTAATAGAAAGTACATTAGTCGGACTACAAGTTCCGGTTGGACTTTATCCCTATAGAATTTTTCTCGATTTCTTTTGATCGAGGTTAACGGAAAGCCGAATATTTTTCTATATTATGAATCATAGTTCATTTTTAAACCGTTCCTTCGGAAATGATATTTTGATAAGTAACTAATATATAATGAAAATGATTGAAAAAGATAATAAAATTTTGATCACAAATAAATAGCATCAATATGATAAAATTTCAATAATATCGTAGTTACTTTTCATTTTTAATATGCACAAAAGAATTTTAAATACTTTTCAATGACATACTGTAAAATAAATTGAATTTTGAAAAATAGATTCATTACTTTATTAACATATGAAGTAGCTATTTTTTCGTGAAGTGAGCGATTGGACAGAATGTTGTTATCATCGTAGTTAACGGTAGAATTATTTGAATTTGAGCAATAAAGCCAATATTTTAAAGGGGATGATAAATAAGATAGCCCCGGGCAGTGTCTAAGATTCAAGCTTTCGACTATAGCTAGGGCTAATGTCGAGGGCCAATTTCCACCGAAATTTGTTAGAGTATTTAAAAGTGTCATATAAGTTCCCCCTACCCTAGGATCACTTATTTTCGCGTGGAAAGCCATTATCGCAACGTACATGCTATAAGAAGCTACCTGTGATTGATTGCGAAAAAGTTTATAAAATATTAAAAGGAAATATGGAATGTAATAAAAATATATTGGATATTATTTTGTAAATTAATTTAGGCTAAGCCAAATTTTAAATATTTATACAAATATATTATGATCAGTGGTGCCGTTAGGACCCTTGTTCCCCTTAGACTACGCCTCGCCCTAAAATAACTTAGTTTTGAAGAATTTTAAAAGTGGAAAAACGTATTAATAAAATCAAAACTTGATGTAAGGCATAAGCTAAGAACAAAACGAAATAATAGAAGGTAGAAAATTGAGGAGGGTTATGGTATTGAGCTATTTGCGTGGTCCACCAGACTAGCAAGGCAAAAATGCCTCCTATTAACAACCTGTATATGTATAAATTTTTGAACAAAATTTAAACGTTTACAAGTATATTTTTGGATATGAAATTTTGATCCCTTGAGTTAGAAAGGAATTGTTTTTGTTTGTTAACATTTAAAAAACCAAATATATTTGAAAAGATGAATTTATAAAATACATTTTTTTACAAATCTAAAATAGCCGTCAATGCTTTCGGTGCAGACGCTAGGCAAATAATTTTTTACCAAAACATAGAATTTGCGGCATTTTACCCTTTTAAAATACCCCATCTTAATGATATTAGACAACCCTTTGTTTTTTAGCTTACAATAAAATTATTAATCTATAAAAAAAATAGTCTTTAAAAAAATTTTTGATGCAATTATTTTTTAATTTGATTAATAGCTGATATTGTCAATGGGTAATGGCGTATAATTATTTTTTTCTAAGATAAAATTAATAAAGGCGAAAAATATAATAGAATTTTGGAAAAGGGAATTTAAAAAGAGGATGTCTAAATAGGAGATTAGTAAATAGAAATTAGGATGGAGATAGAAAGAAATAGGCATGCAAGATTATTAATGGAAGAGATAAAACTTAGATAGTTAGAGCGAATAATGGCGGTAGTGATTCTTTGCTGTATGAAAATGGATTCCTTAGAAGTGTTTTAAAAATTCCACCTTATGGCATAGACATCCGCCCACTATGCTAAGATTACCAAAATTTCGTTAATGTAAATTTATCAATATTTATAGCCTTAGTTTATTCAAATGAGTAAAGGGTATGACCTCAAAATATCCAAATTCGTGAGATTATTAATTCATCCAAGAGGAAATTTTGGCAGAAATTTAGCAAAACAATTATCCATAAATCGATCTTCTAATAAGAAATATATTAAAAATACCGGGGTTGAGCCTACTCAAAATAGAGTAAGTCTAAAGATAATTACTTCAAAAGAAGAGAGAATTATAGAAAAATTATTCTTAAAAATCGGCATGTACAAAAACAACCAATTAATTGTGTCAAATCACCATATAAACATTTTAAAAAAAAAGATTATCTTGCTTATTTTATTTGAATAATATTTTGTTATAAAACTGATTTATCATGAAATTCCCTCGTTTTGTTGGTTATTTAACTTATTTATTAATAATTTTAAAACTAACCTCCAATAGAGAGAGGAAGAATTCTAATTTTTTGATCATAGGGAGAACCAACCACAAAACTTATAATCAAGATTTTCAAAAATCAATGGTATTAAATTAATAAATAAACAAATATTATCTTCGACATCAGGACACCGAGCTGGGAAAAATCAGTAGCTAAAATTAAAACTACACCACCAGTAAAAAAAATTAAGGGTTTTATTTAAATCAGGGTTCACAATAGTATTCGTTTTAGAAAAAAATATCGACTGATCTTCTTTCCGTATAAAATAGAGATATCGATTAATTAGATTTGTTTTAATCATAGAATTTTTATTTGAAAAAATATCGAATTTCATGGCTTATCAATAATTATTTTTTTCATAAAGCATTAACTCTGTATGCGACGTAATATTAATTGCTATAGGGTAATTATTTTTTATAATGCATGATATTTTTCAATCCAAATCCGTACTTCTTTTAATTAAAATTTTAGTATTTGATTAAAGTAGTAATTTAAATATTTTAAAAAAAATGATTTGTATTTTTAAAAATCCCAAATAATTTAAAGCAATATAAAAAGCTTATAAATCAGATCACAACATTTTGAAAAATAATATAAATTACTCGCACTTTTGTTAGAAGCATTTCCTGAAAATGTAAAATAGTTTGTTTCTATAATTTAGAAGAGGGTTCCAGTTCCTGGCTATATACTCTGAATATAATATACGAGGCCAAAAAGTTTATTTGTGAAAAATAGGCGTTAATAATTCAAAAACATACAAGGCCAGAAAACCAATTGAAATAAGACTTCTTCAAAGTTTCTCTAAATCCATGGGGAAAAAAATAAAGTTTTAATGGGTGTATTTTTTTAAAAATATCAGTTTCCCTTTTCATAAAAAATAATAATAAAAGGAATGTTCTAACCAATATTTCCATGAGAATACAATATTAACTTTCCACAAATTAGGCTTCATTATCTTTATTGAAATTTTTTACGATTTTCAACTATTCCTACTTTATTTTAATTTAATTTTGTGACAAAAGGCTTTTTGCTGTTACTGTTATATATTTCTAAATAACTGTAACCGTTACCTTTTTTTCTTAGTATAACGATACTTAATCGCTACATCTTTTCTCTAAGATAAATTTTACCTTTTATTAATTTGAGTAAGGTATAATTTAAAAATGAATAACTTTAATAATATAATTAATGAAAGTGTATATAGTATAATAATTAAATTAGAAATTGAAAAATAAAAAGAAAATTATAGTATATTATCATTTTGATAAAGATAACAAAAAAAATGTAAATTTAAACCTATATGGGAATGCTTTGAGTATCAGATTGATCGGCTTATCCGTGTTACTGTATTTATTGATTATGAGAGGAAACAAAATTTGGAGTGGTATGAGTGGGACCGCGAGAAAAGCTAATTTTTCTTTGGAGACACCAGCGTCCATGAGTTTCAGACCCGTGACGCTATCTGCAGCAGAAAACCCAATCTTAAAATGGTTGTAAAAAATACAATTATGGAATCCTCATATTAAAAACTTAGATATGTATTTTTTTTAAATCTTAGATAATAATTTTAGTTTAAATAAACTAAGATTAGAAAATGTATATTTTAAAAGTAAAATTAAATTGTAAATTTAGTTTTGAAAAATGTATAACTTTCATGGTGAGGCATATGATGATGTATGATTTTATGTGAGGCAGCTTTATAATATCCCAAAGAGTGTAATAAAGATTTTTTATATTATTTACAACATTTTGACTAGTTTGTCTAGGAAAGTGGGGCTTCTCCTTTTTAAGAATCCATACCAATGTTGTGGATATAATGAAAAAAAGGCCCCAAAATTGTAAAAAGTCTAGATCATTGCACAAAAAAAATATATATTAATGCTTTAAAATAATATATATTATTGATGAAAATTTAAGAAATTATAAAATCAATTATTACCTGAAAAGGTCATTAGACCTTTCGACGATGGGACAGAACGTAAATATTTATTACAGAAATCGGAGGATTCTAAGGCTAAGAAAAATATATTTCCCAAAAAATAGCCTGCTGTTTGGCCTATGGAATTGCAGGTTGATGCTAGTCCAACATTTTTTCTAAATAAATTATAAAAGTATCTCTTATTATAATTATTTTGAGTTTCTTAACCTGCACTTTTAAAAATGATATTATAATCAGAGATGTGCCATCATTACTTGGTATTCGGCTAAATAATATTAATATCGGTAGCTACTTTCAAATTTAGCCAATATCTAAAAATGACAATTAGTGATCTGCAAAGCCCAGCCGTTAAAAAATTATTTTACAAGTTGCCAAGCCCGTTAAAATTTTACAAAAAATCAGCCAAAACCCGTTAAATTTTTTTGCACGAATTTTTCGACCATCACATTTTTAACATCTATATCTATTATTTTTCCCATGTGTTAGTTAAGGTTCTTATATTTCTCCCCTATGGCTATCTATTTCCACAAACCCTTTTATAAATCAGTTGCATTTGATATCTGTATTACGTATTTGTAATTGGTATCATAAATACCTTGTCGATATTTTTATATATGATGCCTTTTATTTATGGATCGGTATCAACGATATTTTGAAATTTTAATGTATTGAAGATTGCTCCAAATATAATTTACATATCGTACCGGTATCGAAAAATCAATATATTGGTTGTGCCGATATTAAAATGACCCGTAAATATGTATAACTCAGAATTGGTTCTATTAAACATCTTAGAATATCGATAAAACATTAAAACTTGTAAAATTATTTAAGGAGATTGCCTAATCAAGATGTTCATGGATGGGCAGAAAATTGTTAAAACCAGATCCAAAACATCTGGCGCGTAGCCATAATAGGTTTTTTAAAATATTATGTTCGCTCTCATATATTTTTTATTTTCCAATATTTTTTTATCTGTGTTCATCGCCGGGGTGGCTTAGTGGGTTATGATGTAGACTTGGAAGGTCCCAGGTTCAATCCTGGTAAGGAACATAAAAATTTTCAGGTTATTTTTCGATGACTTCGGAGCTCAGAGATGACACCCCGGTCACCGACAGGCCTGGACAGCCGGGTGCTAAGGATACTTGTCCAATAAACAAAAATGAAGGAAACAAACATAAATAAGAATATGAAAGCTAGGGCGTTCCCTTCAAGCGAATCGCAGGGTGTAGAAAGCAAAGAAGAAAAGGTTAGCAAGTTTGAATATTGGGACACTTAAAGGTAAGACGAGAGAATTGTCATCAATGTTGAACAAGAGAAAAGTTGATATAGCGTGCATACAAGAGACGAAATAGAAAGGTCAGAAGATTTTAATGACTGGAGATGGGTATAAATTTTTACTATAATGGAATTCTTAGCAATAGGAACGGTGTCGGCATTAGAGGTCTGCATTGGGCGTGTTTTCGGCCCGCCCGCTCATCTAAGTGGGCGGGCGGATGGGAGGGTAAAAAAATTTTCGTGAATGGGCAGGCGGGCGGGTAAAAAAAATTTGAAACTATGGGTGGGCTGGGCGGGCGGGTTAAGAAATTTAAACAATGGGCGGACGGGTGGAAATTTAAAATTTTTGTTCAAAAACAAACTAAAAAAAATAATTGTTTAAAAGATATATAACAATATTTCTTTTTTTATTGTACCAATCGTTTTTTTTAAGTGAAGAACATTTACTTAACTATATTATGTAATAAACACAACAATAAAACTTTTTTCTTAGAATAAATAAACATTTTTATCTACTAAAAATTTCCTTTTATGGGAATGTAATAAAAATTTTCTAGTACTTCTTCCGAACGCGGAATTAGCATTGCTGGAAGATTTTTAAAACAAAGAAGAACGTGTTTGAATCCAGAAAATGTCGATTCATTATTATTTTTGCATTATGTTACATATAATATTAATTTTACATTTATATTTTTTTCATAAATATTCAATTTGATCAAATAAATTGTCCATAATTTACATTGATTATTTTTATATATATATTAATTTCCTAAATTATAAACTTTTTGTAGAGGTGTAATGCTGAAATATTTTTATTAGATGCTTAAAAAAATGAAAGAAAGACCATAATTAAATTTTATAAGCGGGCTTGGGTTAAAATTTTTTATAAATAATGGGCGGACGGGCAAAAAATTTTAGACTAATAGGCGGACGGGCCGGGTAGGGAATTTTAGATAAATGGGCGGGGCGGGCTGGTACATATTTTTTGAAAACTATGGGCGGGCTGGGCGGACGGGTTAAATTTTTTTAAACATTAAATGGGCGGGCTTTTGGTACAAAAACCCGCCCAATGCAGACCTCTAGTCGGCATCATCCTCAGTCAAGATCTAACCACCTCAGTGGTAGAAGTTTCTTGGATCCTTTATGAAGATAAAACTCTGCATTGGTCAATCTACTACACAGCCTTTGAGTAAATGTCCTCAAACGGGTTGCAAAGAAAAGGAGAAAGATGACTTTAAAGCTATCCTTGATGAAGCTGTAATGGAAATTCCTAAGGATGACGACTTAAATGCGCATGTGGGAAAAGCAAGAGATAGCTACAAAAGGCATGATAGTGGTTTTGGATATGGAGAAAGAAATGATGAAGGAGAGTATGTACTGAAATTTGCACAAGCCTTCGACCTTGTCTTAACCAACATCTACTATAAGAAAATAAACAGTCATTTATTAACATATGAAAGTGGTACAAGGTAAACCCAAATAAGTTACATGCTAATCTCAAGCAGAAGATTATAATAGACTGCAAAGTCATCCCAGGAGAAGATATTGCCGTGCAACACAAGTTACTAGTCATGGATTTACAACTTACAAATAAATCCACTCAAAACAAGATAAAGAACCATGCATTAAATGGAGTAGATTAAAATCAATGATAGGTGCCTTTGCTATTGATGCAAACATTGAAACAATAGATTCCTCGCAAGTTAGTTAAAAAATGTGGACAGATCTTTCATCTAGATTAATAGACACTGCCAAATCGACAATAGGCTTGACAAGGGGAGGCAACAAATCATACAAGGAACAATGGTGATGGAATGAAGAGGTACAGGAGAAAAAAGCCCTATATAAATATGGTACAAATCCAAAAACCCAGATGACAAGACAAATTACAAAAAATCCAAGAGAATAGCTTAGGACCAAAACTATGGCATACGATGACATGTATGAAAAACTAAATACCAAAGAAGGGCAGAATAAAGTATACAGATTAGTCAAACAGCTAGAAAAGAATTCTAGGGATATAAACGGAGCTCCGAAAGTAATCAGAAATAAAGATGGGAAATTGATAATAAAGGAAAAAGAAATAATGAATAGATGGAAAGAATATTCAGGAGCTTCTCAACTTTAATCCCCACATACTACATCTAGATGAACAATGTCAAAACCTTGTACAACCAATAACAGAACAAGAAATAATCACATGCCTCAAGCATATGAAAAACAACAAAGCTAGGGGTCCAAATGATATTCCAATAGAAAACCTTAAAGCACTAGTAGACATCATCTCCTCACAAATCTGTACAATAAAATACTGGAAAATGAAAAGATTCCTCAAAAATGGAGGCAGAGCTATCTAGTTCCTAACTTCAAAAATAAAGGAAATCCACACAATTGTCAAAATTACAGGGGCATAAAACTAATGTCACACTGTCTTAAACTCTACGAAAAAATAATGGAAAAGATTAATAGACATAATCGAAATAGGAGAGACTCAGTTTGGCTTTATGCCTGGAAGATCAACAACTGATGCAATCCACGCAATTAGGCAAATGAGTGAAAAATACAGGGAAAAGAACAAAAAGCTACACATGGTCTTTCTCGATCTAGAAAAGGCCTTCGATACCCAAGAAAACTTATCTGGTGGACGCTACGCCAGAAAAAGGTTCCCGAAAAATATTTTAGAATAATACAGGATATGTATATGGGCCATATAACAATGGTCCGTAGCACAACAGGTACTTCAGCAGGCTTTACAATAGCCGAAGGAGTTCATCAAGGGTCAACTCTCAGCCCACTTCTCTTCATTACAGTAGTAAATGAAATAACACAGTCTATATCTCAAACAATCCCGTGGAATATGATATTTGCAGATGATATTGTGATACTTGCCGAATCCAAGGATGAAATGAAAGAAAGATTAGTGAGTTGGATAAATATCCTAAAAAAGCACGGACTAAAAGTAAATAGAGAAAAGACGGAGTATATGGTGATAGGAGGAGATGAAATAAAGAGCATTGATATAAATGAATGGCAGATATCGGCAATTAAAAGCTGCAAATATTTGGGCTCCACTATACAAACAAACGGCACAATAGAGAAAAAGATAAAGAGTAAAATTAATCAAGGGTGGTTAAAGTGGAGATCTTTATCTGGAGTGCTCTTTGACAAAAAAATCCCACACAAATTGAAGGGAAAAATTTACAGTTCCATAGTACAACCAACTATTCTATGTAGTTCAGAAACATGGCCAACCAAAGAATCAGACGAGAGAAGTCTAAAAACTATGGAGATGAGAATGCTGAGGATGATTGCTGGGGTAACAAGAAAGGATAAAGTGCGCAGTACAAGAATACTAGAAAGTTTAAATGTAGTGCCCATTAAGACTAAGATAATGGTAAACAGACTTAGGTGGTATGGGCACACAATGAGAAGGCCTATGAACTACATAGGAAATAAGGTTGAGAGTTTGGAAGTGATGGGCAAACTTAAAAGAGGAAGGCCAAAACTTGAATGGGGCTATAAAGTTAGAGCCAATATGAAGAAGTATAAATTAGATAAAAGAGATAGTATGAATAACATAAAGTGGAGAGATATTGAAGGAGCTTAGCACCAGAAAAGTTGAAAGCTAAAGAGGAAAAAATTTTTTTTTATTATTTGTGTTCAAAATTGCCATTTTTTTAAATATAATTTTTTTTTTGGCTATAATAAATTTTACATGCAGATTAGTTCTAATAAATTTTTTATGTTCAAAAAATATATTTAAATATTAAAAAAATTATTCTCCCCTACTCCACTGTAGAAAATTCCTGTCCGATACTGACTCCTCTTTAAAATATTTTTGTTTGATAACTTATTTTTAAGTTTTATTAACATTCCAAGATTGTTATATAAATTTAGTGTATATCTTATGCCAATTCCGAGATCATTTATAACTATTAATAATGGCACAAAGATATCGGCACTATTGAATTAAAGTTTAATCTTTACTTTTTAATAAAATTCAGAAATATAAAAACAATATATATTTAAATTATTAAAATAAAAAAAATATTTATTTGATTAAATTTAATAATTAATTCAAAATGTTTTAAATCTCTCATAATATTTATACAATTCAAATTTCCTTCAGACGAATCAAGGGAAGACATAAAGCAAAAGAATTGAAAGAGGTTTTTGTATTCAAAACAGAATATCCAATCCAATAACAGAAATGAACCTAACTTCATTGAGGCTCATAAGTATTTATTGATATATAAAGTTTTCAGTGATAATAATAAATTAAAAGTGAAAAATGATGCCTCGAAATGAAAAAAAATGATTTTATGTTCATTGTAATTAGGGATGTACCAATATTTTTTATCGGATCGGGTCTTTTTAAAATATAGGTTATCGGCCAATTTATAAAATTTTACGATTCCGATAAAAAATGGCGTTTTTAACAAAAATAAAATATTATAAAATTTAAAAAAAAAATTATATCTAAAATCATTTATTTTTATAAATAAAATCGAAATCTATTTTTTATGTTTATTTTTTTAATAATAATAATAATTAATTAATAAACATTCTGCTATATCGTTATTTTTTTTCGCATTATGTTTATAAAAGTGTGCGATAATCTCTTCAGAATCTGTTTTTAGTGAAGCTGGTGATATTGACAGTTGCCATCGCGGGCTGACCTCTGATAAATTGGATTTTAGTACTTCTAAAAAGAAATCTTCGATATATTAATGTTAAATATTATTTTAAATATTTATTTCAAATTTCGTAAAATATTTGTTTATTACTTAATATGTATATGGATTAATTTTACTTATTATATAAAAGTAATTTAACAATAAAAATATTTTATATACTTTTAGAATTGCAATTGAATTGAATATAAACTATAACTGATTATTATAATATATTTAAATGACATAAGTTATGGTATAGTTAGATTATAGATGTTACACTAATAAAAAGTATATTAAAAATTAAAACCATTGGTATCTTTACAGAATACAAAATTCGATATGATATCGGATTGGTAATCGGCCGATATCAATGTAATATCGAGAATATCGGATCGGCCTTCAAAAAGTGGTATCGGTACACCCATAATTGTAATTATGATCTTTAATGAATCTGAAAATCAATATATGATGAGTACATTTCATAGCTACTTTAACACCCATAATTCAAGTTTGACATGTTGAATTCAAGAGCTAACATTATAGTTTTGAAAAATTTGCCTAGCCTAGCCCAACCCATTATAATTTTTTTTAAATTTTCCCAAACCAGACCTTAAAAATTTTAAGAAAATTCAGACCGGCCAAGCTTGCTAAAATTTTATAAAAGTCCACCCTGTCCTGCTAAATTTTTTTGTAAAATTTTTCCAACTATCACATTTTTATAATCTTTCCAATATAAATTAAGGTTCTTATACCTTTCCTCTAAGGCCATCTATTTTTAACAATCGATTTATAAATCAATTGTGTTTGTATCTACATTATACATTTGCGATTGAATATAATATTCATATCTAAATAAACTTTTTGATTTTTAGTGAACATATATTATTTAATGGTTTAGTACTTTATTTATACAGCTCATATAATACAAAGAAATTAGCATATTGTAATTTATATTTAAATAGTATTAATCCAATTATTAGCTTGAAAATCAAAAAAATATATCAATTAATGCTTAGGCTGGTTTTATGAAAAATCAGAGATTTGTGAGGCCTGGCCTGATATTTTATGTATATGTCTGACCTGGCCCAAAAATATTTATGCATGAAGTCAAACCCAACCCAATATATATTTTTTTTAAATTTCAGGCTATGGGCCAATCTGACCTTTGCAGACTACTAGATATTAAAGAGAAATAGCCCATATAAATGATAGTTAAGGAACTACAAATATTTAAGTCACATGTACATTAATCTCCTGAAAATTTAAAAAATAACCTTTTTAACAAACTTATGCTACAATATGATGAAAATAAAAAAACAAAATCTAGATAATTTTTTATCACTGATAAAAGATTTAAAAATTATAAATAATTTTTCTAATATCATAATTATTTATAAAACAAACTATGATTGTTTTTAGCACACTGGTAAAAAAATTATCATCATAGTTAAAATATTATTTCCAGATAGGAAAGGATGCCTTCCTATTGTTATAATCATTTAATAATATTTAATATTAATGTTTTGTAAATATATTTTATAATATGCAGTTAATAGATATATAAATTTTTTTTAATGTCTAATTATAATACTAAAAATTATATTGATATCGATAATTTTTATATTATCTAGTGCATTTCTAATATATTTGGGAAAAATGTATTTTTATCGATATCCATAAACCTCTTTAGAGTTTGTAATGGTATTAATACCTTTTAAAAATATTAATAACAAGTCTAATTATTGTAAAAATAATTTATATAGGATACCTTGATAACATTGTAAGTGCCCATCCATCAACAGCAATATCTTGTGTTGCAGCAAGTACATTTAACAAGAAAAACACTGATGTTAAAATAAAGAGACTTGACCAACTTGAGGCTGCATTAAAAACAAGATTTTCCACATTTAAGGAAAGTAATAACATTAAACCACCTATACAATATTGCACAGGTATTAACCAAGACTTCCTCCAACCCATATGTCTCCAGTAGGTGGCATCTACTATTGGTGCCCATAATAGTTTAAAGCTAAATGGCCAAAAAACTAAACTGAAAAATGCTTGTTCCTTGTAAGTAACATGGCCATATTGTTGTAAAATTAGGGGAACTGCCCCTGCTAAACCCAAAGGTATTCCCTGCAAAACATAAAGAAATAAAAGTAAACAGACATTTCCTGAATCTTTTTCACCAAAATATCTATAAAAATGCAAATAAATAAGTTTATGCAATTAATAAATACTTTTTAAGATTATTGTCTGAAGTTGAATTTGTTGTAATAATTGAAAAATTGTCTTGTTTGGATATGGATATATTATTTGACATTCCATGTGAATTACTTTTAATTGTATCACTACTATTATTTTTATTTAGTAATCTTTTGTTTAATGATGTTTCAGAATTAGATTCTGTATCATTTTTATTCATTATTATAAGTTGATATTAGATGATTTAGAATTCATCTAAGTCCATCAAATATTGTGGTAACTAATTTAATTAAAATTATATATTTATAAAAAGATTTTTATAACATTGCATCGATTTAAATATCCTGGATGCACGCTAGGTTTCGATATCAGCTGTGTATGAAAACCTAATCCTATAGAAGATTTTCGCTGTCAATCATCATCAAATTTAACTATTGAATTAAACAAATAAAAGAACCTCGATATTTTTTCCAAATATGTGCATAAATATATTTTTTAATCTTTTGTAATGCTATATATGTTATTTTTTTAATTTTGGAATTATTTGTAATTATCTTCAAGTTAAGATGTCTTGATTATATTGATAATTATTGTAATTAGATTTATAAGTTCGTCTTTTTGTAATTATAGAAATAATTATATATATATTTTTTACAATATGTCAGTCATACATTTGTTTATAAAATTATGATTATAATAGGATGATTAGGTTTTTTTACTTTTGAATTTTTGGATATTAAATAAAAAATAAATTGTATTTTTAACGAGACTGTGTTTTTGGTTTATTAAAAAGATCAATATTAATTTTAGCGTTTCTTTTTTACTTTAATAATAAATTAAGAATTTTTTTTTGTTTCTATTTTAATAATGGAGCACGTGTAGGATATTCTTATTCTTGATTAATGCGGTTATTATTATAAAAAGGAGGATTTTTTTATTCAATCTATGAAGTTCACATATCATTCTAGGATAGGGTTCCCTCATTAAGATATCATTCTATGACAAGTTCACATATTAGAATAGAAGAAGACATTTTAGGACAGGTTCTTAATAGAGTGTTCTCATTAGGATATACGAGTAAAAAAAAAAATTTTTCATATACACAACGCAATACACTTAGAAATAAAAATACTCATTTGGTTGAAAATTGTAATATTTGTGGCCTATAAAGTCATAGTGAAAAAAATTGTTTTTAGCGTGATGAAAAAATTAATGTAAATGTTAATGCAAAAATAAATGACAAAAATGATATGGTTTGTCATAGATGTGGTTTCTTAGGGCATATATAAAAAAATTTCATAATGAAAGAAGTAAATTATAAAAATGGTTTCCACAGAGACCACCAGTATTAATAACCCTGGTAGTTCATAACATAAAAAATCCTATTATTTCAACTCTAAGTGAAATAGAAATATATAATATGGATAATGCCAGAATGTGCTTCAAATATGAAGAAATGGGTCATATTGTTATGAATTATGTTCAATCCATGAGTGGATTGCAGTGACTATATTATTTGAGAGAAAACCATATAAAAATAAATCATATAATTATTAATAAAAATTGTGATACATATAGTAATATAAAAAATTCTTTGGATATATTTAATAAAAAAGACAATTGTCCTTGTTATGATAGTTGCAAAACGAATTTTAACTCGGATAAAGAAAATTGCAATGTTGGAAATTTTTATTGTCATTTTCATGAAATAAAAAAATTTAATTTGACTAATATTATTGTAATAAGAAAGGTGAGAAATATCCTTAGGAAATTTATAATAAAAAAAATTAATGATATTCAGGGGCTCTTAAATTCAGGGATGAATTTGGCTATGAATATTAATTATATTGAAAGTGAAAATTAAATATAATAAAAAAAAATTCAGCCGATTAAAACATATAAAATTTTAAAAACTGAAAGATTAAATGAACAATCTTCGCGTCCTCGAGTTAAATTGAGGATTGATCATATGTACATTAACACTTTATTTGGTACTGATGCCAGCATTTTTATAATGTCTCAAGAAAATTTTTTTGAAAAAGAAATTATTTTGTGAAATAATTTGATGGTTATGAAATTAAAGTTTTGGGTAAAACACAATGGGATGCTCTTTCAATGATACTACCATAAGTTTGTATTTATGGTGGTAGAAAAAAAATGTCGAAACCATTATGGATGGGATGGGATTACTAAAATCAGACCCAGTAATAATTATAGGGATTTGTTTATCATTGATAGTAAATTGGCAGCTTGCCGAAAGAAAAATAATTGCGGATAGCATCCTAAGTTATTGAACGGAGGAAAGAATCCTGTTGTTAATAATCATATTCTTTAGTACCCAGAAAAATTAATGATAGAGTCCAGTAGCTATAAATTGAATAGGGAAATTGATAAAGATCAAATTTTAAATTATGAAATTAATGAATTAAATAAAGTTAATAATGCTATACGTATTTTAGTTAACAAATATGATTCAATTTTTGAAAAAAAATTGGGACGTCTTGATTATAAAATAGATTTTAAACTTAAAAAATGGTTTTCACCCATTTTTTTAGCATGTCTACCAGTTCCTTTTGAGTGGAAAAAGAAAATCGAAGAAGAATTAGACCGATGGGTCAATTATTAATCCGGTGGAATATAATGAATGGGCCACACCATTGGTTCCTTTTAAAAAATCAAATGGAAAATTGAGGCTATGTGCCAATTTTCGTGTAACTTTAAACCGGTGGGTTGTTGAAGTTAATTATCCATTGCCAATAATTGAAGAAATTTTGGCCAATTCAAAAGATGCAGATTATTTTTCCGATTTTTTTTTCTTCAGGAAATTCGTAAATTGTTAACGATAACGACTCATAAAGGATTATGTGACTATGAGGGAAACACCAATAAGTTCAATGGTGGAGGAGAATACATGCTGATTTTAGGGCTTTTTAATCATCAAATTGCAGAGGGCCTCTGCGGAGTATGGTAATATTACTATTCAGATATATTGTAAAAACAAAGCTTAGTTCTTTAAACTAAAGTTAATTATCTCTACAAAATTTTAAAAGTACTACTTAGCAAGCGCAATTGTCCTTTAATAGCAAAACAGCGTTTGAACTTCTCTTTTCATCTATTGGCTTTGAAAGTTTGGGGAATCTATGAGATGAGCTTAACCACAATTATTGGTAGATTGCATTTAGCCACTCACGTAAATGCCCACGGGATGTAATAAGGTAGAAATTACAATTAACAGTATTTTCTATTTTATCGGGTTAGGAAATTTGTATGTAAATTTTTTTATAACCATGATTCAAAGCAGGGCAATTTATTTCATGATTTATGAAGGTTAATGATTGTTTTTGGGAGTACCGATTAAAATATTGTTCGATACTGAAGCATCTGTGATCAAAAGGCATAATTTTTTATAATATCAGAGTGAATTTTTCAACGATTTCTGACAATAATAATGTCTAACTTGGCAATATGATATATTTTTATTGTGTTAACCTTTTGATTTTCTTATATTGCGACCTATATTCTTTTAGGTAATGATATCTTAAGATAATTAATTGCTGGAAAATATTTAATGAGTAGCTTAAAAAAGCCTTCCCTTCGTTTTGAAAAATCAGACCAAATTCTCACTTTACCATATTTTTAATACTACCTTTATATATATAGTAATCGTTTCACCAAATTAACTTGATGAAGTTCAAAATTAGAGATCTGCAAAAGTAGGCCCGGCCCGAACGGGCTTCGGGGCCGGCCTATTTTTTTAAAAAAATTGGGTTCGGACTAGATCGGGCCTAATATTTAAAAAATTCGGGTCGGGCCAAATATATCTAAATTTATTAATTATATGTTCAATTTTTTATGTAAAATAAAAATATTTGATTTCATTTATTGAAAATAGACGCCATATAACATATATTTTTTATTTTGAGTAATTCAGAAAATTAAAAATTCGGGCCGGGCTGATAAATTTTTTTTGACAAAAATTCAGGTTCAGGCCGGCAAAACATTTTTAAAAAAATTTCGGGCCGAACCGAGCTTGAAAAATCAGGCCCGATGCAGATCACTAGTTCAAATAACTAATGATATAATACCATCATTAAAAAGGGATTTAAATAATGTAATTAGTCATTTGCATTTTTCACCGAATGAGGGTGCATATGCCCGTTTGGCCATACCGAATGGACACCTATGTCAGAAACCAACAGAAGCACCTATTTTCAGGCCGGGTAATAAAAAATTTCTATTTTCACGCTAGGCATGGATTTTAATGGTGTTTAAGATTGTTGTAGTAATAAAGGAATATATTTATGCTATTTATACATTATGAATTATTTTATTCTTGAATTAGATATCGCTATAATGATTATATATATTTATGATTTAATGTTATATAGGGTGAGGTTAACTACTTAACACCCATATCATCTAATATAATGTGATATCCGGATTAGAGGTGGGCGCGGGCCAATTTTTTATTCACGGCCCGCCCGCTCACGGTGGCAATAAAAAAATTTCACGCCCATTTACGATTAACGCTAAAAAAATTTCGACCCGCCCGCTCACGACAAGCAATATTTTGATTCACGCCTGTCACGCCCGAAAATTCCCGGTGTTTTTAAATTTTGTAAAACTATTACTTTAATTTTACACTTTTTTGAATTCATTCTATTTATTTCTCTAATTTCATAATCCATATTAATAACAAAAAAATAAAAATAATCTATAAATCGAAATTTATTTGGAAAAAGAAGAATGTCCATCTTTTTTTATATCAATTGTGTACGCCTTTCCTCTAATAAGAGATTAGCTACAGAAAATAACTTTTCACTAGAAGCCTAACTTGCAGCTGACAAAATTTTACTCGATAATTTTCTCAAAAAGGAAATGAATACAAAATATTGTCTTGATATTTATCTTATATGAATCTTTTAAGTTAATCCTCACAGCTTTCATCGATAATGTTGATGCTTCATCAGAATCATCTAGAAATATACAGTCTTTTATGAGTGTAGGATGAATTAGGAAGTTGGTATTGATCATTTAGAATATAAGGTTTTTTATAAGTTTAGGATAAGTTAGGAAAGTTATAAATGATAGTTGGCATCGACTTATGCATATCATCTAATTTTATATCATTTAGCATTTTTAAGATTGTTTTATATATATCATTTTCTTCTTTTATTAAAAACTTAAGTCTTTTGAAATTCGGATCTAGAATTAAGCCTACCTTATGTAGTGACTGCATAATAATCTTTTAAATGAAATCTTGTTCTGTATTTTAAGGTTTTGATTATTATTGTATCACGTTCAGAAGGACAAAATTTTATTAATTTTTGCTTTCATAGACAAACTTCATTTATTGAGGAACGATAATCTGCTCTCAGATTATCCGAGCATTCCTTAA